AGAAACAGCCATACTGATTTCCACAGTGGTTGTACAAGCTTGCATTCCCACTAACAGTGGAGGAGTGTTCCCTTTGCTCCACATCTTCTCCAACATTGACTGTCATTGGTGTTTTTGAGCATAGCCATTCTGACAGGTGTAAGGTGGTATCTCAGAGTTGTTTTTTATTAGACCAATCACAGTGTAATCAAATATCTTGCAACAACTAGCAATTGTGATTCTGTAGGTATAACTCATGACTTACCATTTTAAAACATTACATGTGAATTTGATACTATGGGTTATATTCTGAAAAGGTAATCTTTTTAAAGAAATTATATATTTAGTTTATTCATTTCTGTGTGGTATATTTCTTCTGCCTGTACAACTCCTAAAAGTTTTCAAGTGCAAATCTACTAGTAATGAAGTTCTTAATAGTTTTTGTCTGATAAAACTTTCTTCTTCATATTCTGAAGGATTTTTATTCATAGACTATAGAATTTTCCTTAAGCTCCTTAAATAAATCTTTAAATCGGAATTATTTTCTTAAAATATATTCTGGTCATACTTTTCCTTTCCCCCAAATTCCTCTCAGATTCTACACATCTCCCCCGTCCCAACTCCATGCTATTTCTTTCTTTCTCTTTAGAAAAAAACAAAACAAAACAGGAAACAAAAGTAAAAACACCCAAACACACAATTCCCCTCAAGTCCCACAAGAAACACATACATACCAAGAAAAAACAAAACAAAACAAAAGACCCCTAGTCTTTGTGTTTCCATTTGTTGTATGAATAAGCTTCTCTGATAATGGATGAATGAGGCACTGATCATGAGTATAGCAGAATGTCTTTAGGAGTCATTTTATTAATCTGTTCCTGGGATGAAAGGTGTGTGCCAGCTAACTTTTTAATAGCTGAATAATATTCCATTGTGTAAATGTACCACATTTTCATTATCCACTCACCAGGTGATGAATATATAGGCCATTTCCAGGTTCTAACTATTATGAATAGAGCAGCAATGAATATGAATGAACAAGTATTTTGGTAGTAGGCTGTAGAGTCCTTTGGGTATATATGCCCTAGATTGGTTTAGCTAGATTTGGTGGTAGACCTATTTCCAGCTTCCCGAGGAATTGCCAAATTGATTTGTATAGTGGCTGTATCAGTTTGTAACCCCGCCAGCAACAAATAACTGTTTCCTTTACCCCATATGTTTGCCAACATGAACTATTAATTGTTTTATTGATCTTGACCATTCTGACTGGTGTAAGACAAAAATCTCAAGGTAGTTTTTTGCTGCGGGCCGCAGGAATATATCATAAGAACTCAGCTGGTTATGGCAAAGCCACTACCTGGAGGGATCAAGGATTTCCTCCAGAGGAAGCCAAATTCCAAGGAGCTTTTGGTGTTACTTGGCTTTTTATATATCAGCTGTCTTCTGTTATGAAAATCATGTGTGCCTTCATAGTTTTCCCAGTTGATTTTTCCCTAAGAAGGGCTAACAGTGTGGACTGATCACTCTCTGGACATATACATTCCAGGTATTTGGAGAACAGCCTCAGGAAAGGCTTTCTCTGGAATCAGATATCTCCCTTGGCCACTTTCAAGGACTAGCAGTAATAACAGTCTTCATGCAAGTCTCCTGATTTAAGATAAATTCCACAAGGAGACACTGCCTAGGTCAGGTGGACGTTAAGTAATAGCTTTACACAATTTAGCTCGGACCCCCCTTTCTTATACCCCTACTAACTTTATAGACCTTTAACTCCTTACCTAACCAATTCTAGGAATATTTAGATAACTTTCTGTGCTGACAGCTATGCTCAGCCAGAAACCCAGTTCAAGCCTCTCTGTAATCATCATCATTGGAAGCATCTGGCCAGGTCCATCCCCAGATAGAGGAAAGTACCTTATCAGAGATACCTCTGTACTCTCTAAAAACAGACTTAAGCATCCAGACTACCTGTTTGAGGACGCCTGGCGGATGTGTCAATTAAACTTTACTTTCTTCTTTCCCAAACCTTACCTCTAGTTCCAGATCTCCCTTTAACTATCACCAGAGGCATCCAGCTGTACACAGGTTGCCTAGCGACTGAGCACACTTTCCCCCACTCTGCAGAAAAATAGGTAGATAGCTTGGACAGATATGAGCCACAGGAAAAAAGAAGACAGTTTTATTTTCTCCCATTGACCTAGCAACTTATAGATTCATAACATTTTCTACTAATCACCTTTAAGACTATAGTTGAGCACATAAGAGCCCTCTTCTTAGACATTACCTGACTTTAGCCTTTAGTTAATTCATTTCCCCATTGGTCACTTCCCTTTGGGGTTGCAAATGATAATTAACGGTTATTGCCTCCCTATGTGATTCTTATCACCCCTCCGTTTGACCCTGGAAGCCTGGCTTTGCACTGCTAAGGGAATACTGCTTGTAAGTGTATATATACCAGGACTTCAGGGCACTGGAGGACGGAGAAGAGAAAAGAGAATAGAAGAACTAGATGGGTAAGAACTTGAGAGGAACAAACTAAGATGGGGAAGAACTAGATTGAAGGGCTAGAAGAGAGGACTAGAGGAACGAGATGGAAGATGAGGAAGAGCCAGATGGGGAAGAACAAGATGAGGAAGAATGAGATTAGGAGAGAGAAGGAGATAGGAAAGGAGCTGATATGGGAAAGAACTAGATGGATGAGAAACTAGAAGGGGCAGAACTAAGATGAAGGAATTTAGATAGAACCTGGAGGGGACAACAGATAAATGTAAAGAGAAATTGGGCAAGAAAGGAGCTAAAAATGAGAGCAGAGTATAAGCTTGTAGAGAGAGAACTGACAGAATAATAAAGTATATGGACTAAGGAATTTCGTGCACATACATTCATTTCTTTTCTTCAAAGATTAATTATCAGCTGGTTGTAGATTCTTCCCAGACCCTGGGAGGGGACTATTGAGGGGCTGGACCCCCATAGTTCTCGATAGTTTTAATTTATATTTCCCTAATTACTAAGAATGGTGAACAGTTAAATGCTTCTCAGCCATTTGTGTGTCCTTTTTGAGAACTCTCTGCTTATTTCTTTACTCTTTTTAAATTGGGTTATTTGTTTTCTTAATGATACTTTGCTCAAAATGCTTTTCACCTGTAGAATTTCCTGGTGGTGTTTTTAGTTTTTTTTTTCTTTTTTTTCTAAGACAAGGTTTCTCTGTGTAGCTCTGGCTGGCTGTCCTGGAATTCACTCTGTAGACCAGGCTGGCCTGGAACTCACAGAGATTGCCTTCCTCTACCTCCCTGAGTGCTGGGACTAAAGGCGTGCGCCACCATGCCCAGGGGGTTTGCAAGTATTTTATTAAAAATTTTTGCATCTATGTTCATAAGGGATATTGGTCTACAATTTTCTTTCCTTGCTGGGTCTTTATGTAATTTAGTTATCAAGGTAATTGTGGCCTTGAACAAAGAATTAGGCAATATTTTTCCAGTTTCTATTTTGTGTAATCATTTGAGCAGTATCGTGTTTAAATTTTCTTTGAAAGTCTGATAGAATCCTTCGATGAATGCATCTGACCCTGGACTTTTTTGTTTGTTTGTTTGTTTCTTTTTGAGACAGGATTTCTTTGTGTATCAATCCTGGCTTTCCTGAAACTTGTACTGTAGATCAAGCTGGCCTGGAACTCGTAGTCTCGCCTACCTTTGTCTTCTGAGTGCTGGGATTAAAGGCCTGTGCCACGACTACCTGGCTTTTCCCCTCTTTTGATTTATTGTTCTGAGATTATTTATTCTTTGTGTTTTCTTGGGTGTGGTTAACTTTCAGACTGAAATTTTCCTTCTAGTTTCTTTTGTATAGCTGGATCGGTAGATGGATAATGCTTAAATTAGATTTTATTTTGGTGATACTTTGTTTGTGCTTTAACAAATAAAGCTTGCCTGGAGATCACAGGGCAGAGTTAGCCACTAGATAACCATAGAGGCTACCTTTAAAGGCACATACCTTTAATCCCAGCACTTGGGAGGAGGAAGCAGGAAGATCAGGAGTTCAAGGCCACCTTGGGCTACACAAGATTGATCCAGTCTAAAAGAGAAACATCCAGGCAGTGGTGGCACACACTTTTGATCCCTGCACTTGGGATCTCAAGCCTTTAATCCCAGCACTATAGAGGTGGAAACAGGAGGTGATATGGCTGGGCAGAGAGAGTAATATAAGGCGGGAGGAGACAGGAGCCTTGTCCCCTTTCAGGCTGAAGATTCCATAGAGGTAATAAGCCTTTCTGGTGCCTGGCTGCTCTGCCTCTCTGATCTATCAGTTTTCACCCCTATATCTGGCTCTGGGTTTTTATTATTAAGACGAATTAGGATTTGTGCTACATTTTTTTTTTTTTTTTGGTTTTTGAGACAGGGTTTCTCTGTGTAGCTTTGCGCCTTTCCTGGAACTCACTTGGTAGCCCAGGCTGGCCTCAAACTCACAGAGATCCACCTGGTTCTGCCTCCCGAGTGCTGGGATTAAAGGCGTGTGCCACCACCGCCCGGCTTGTGCTACATTTATCATCAATGATTTTCTTTCTCATGTATTGTGGTTGATAATTTTGCTGGCTATAGTAATTTGGGTTGTCAGCACATTTTAGGAAAGTACTCTACTGATGAGTTGTATCACCAGCCTAGTTCTTGTTCTTAAGTATGTACAGTAATGTAAATAAACTAAGAGATTATTTGCCAGGCAGTGGTGGCACACACCTTTAATTCCAACACTCATGAGACAGAGGCAGGTGTGAACTCTGTGAGTTCAAGGCCAGCCTGTTCTACACAGCAAGTTCCAGGATAGCCAGAACTGTTACACCCTCTCTTGAAAAACAACAGCAAAAGTAAATAAATAAAAAAGATTATTCAATGTATATTCTAACTGTCTATTACCATAAATTTTTCCAGTTAATTAGTTATAGTGTATTTAGGATTTGGAATAAGGAGCAGGTATTTGATTTTAAAATGCATGTCATTACTTTTAAAGCTGTATTGTTTTTGTTTTTTCAGATGACGAAGAAATGTTCTCAACTTTTAACTCTAGAGAAACAGCTGGAAGAAAAAATTATTGCGTATTCTTCTATTGCTGCAAAAAATGCAGAACTTGAACAGGAGCTCATGGTAAAATTTATCATTTTATTTTCCTTTTAATTGTTATTATGTCAATTTGATCTATTATGTAGTTTGACTTTGAAGTTTTTTTGTTGGTTTCTAATTGATATTACTAATTTAAAGATGACAGTAAAGTGTTGAAGTCACTCACTGTTATTCTGTGAGGACCTATCTAACCTTTTATTCCTTTTAGTGTTTGAAATTGCAACCTGAACATTCAGTGTATGTATATTTCCAGTTGTTATATCTATTGGTTAAGTGGCGCTGCTTGTGGCTGGCCGCCACCCGCGGCGGCCATGCCCGCAGAGGAGAGTGCTGATCGGAAGAATCATAGCCATGGTTACCTTTTTAGAGCTTTATTGGGAGAGGAGAGAGAGAGAGAGAGAGAGAGAGAGAGAGAGAGGAGAGAGAGAGAGAGAGGAAGAGAGGGAGAAAGAGAGAGGGAGAGAGGACAGATGGAAGGAAGGAGTGGAAAGGAAAGAGAGGGATGCACAGAGGGCCCACCCACTTTTAAGGCTGGGACACCATTGCAGGCTGATGACGTAATTAAGGACTGAATCTTTACAATATCTTCCTTGTGGCTATTATCAGCAGCAATGAACATGGTTGAGGCAAGTGTCTCTGCAGTAGGATAAAGTGTCCTTTGGTTTTAAGCACAAGAGTGGTATAGTTAGATCTTGAGGTAGATCAGTTCCCATCTTCCTTTGGATTGGCCACCCTGATTTCCATAGTGGTTGTACAAGTTTGCACTCACACCACCAATGGATGAGTGTTCCCTTTACTTCACATCTTTACCAACATGAGCTATCATTTGTTTATTTTCTTGGCCATTCTGATTGGTATAAGATGAAATCTGAAAGTAGTTTTGATTTGCATTTCCCTCATGACTAAGTATGTTGAACATTTCTTAAATGCTTCTCAGACATTTATGTTTCATCTTGTGAGAACTCTGTTTAGATCTCTACCCTATTTTTTAATTGGGTTATTTGTTTTCTTGACATTCATTTTTTTTAAGTTCTTTATATATTTTGGATATTAGCACTCTATAGGATATATAGTTAATACAAATCTTTTCCCATTCTGTAGCCTTCCACATTGTCCAAATGATGATGTCCTTTGCTGTACAGAAGCTTTTCAGTTTTATGAGATACCATTTACTAATTGTTATTTTTAGTGCCTATACTATCAGTGTTCTGTTCAAAAAGCCTTTTCCTGTACTATGAAATTCAAGGCTATTCCCCACGTTGTCTTTTATCAGGTTCAGTGTATTTGGCTGGGTGTTGAGATCTTTGATCTCTTTCGGGTTGAGTTTTGTGTAGGGTGATAAGTATGGATCTATTTGTATTCTTTTACATGCAGTCATCCAATTCCACCAGCACCTTTTGTTGAAGATGCTGTCTTTTTTCAGAGTGCATTTTTGTCTTCTTTGTAAAAAAAAAAAAAATCAGGTATTCATAGGTGTGTGGACCTATTTCTGAGTTTTCAATTCTATTCCATTGATCAATGTGTCTTTTTTGTGCCAATACCATGCTGTTTTTCTTGCTATAGCTCTGTATTACAAATCGAGGTCAGGGGTGGTGATACTTCCAGCAATTAAAAAAAAATTATTCAGGATAGTTTTTAGCTATCCTTGTGTTGTGTGTGTGCGTGTGTGTGTGTGTGTGTGTGTGTGTGTGTGTGTGTGTGTGTGTGTGTGTGTGTGTGTGTTTGTGTGTGTGTGTGTATAAAGCTGAAAATTGTCGGGTCAAGTTCTTTGAAGAATTGTGTTAGAATTTTGATGGGAATTTCATTTAATTTGTAGATTGCTTTGGGTAGAATGTCCATTTTTATTATATTAATCCTACTGATCCATGTGCATGGGTGATCTTTCCATCATCTGATATCTTCCTCAATTTCTTTCTTCAATGTTTTTTCATACAATTTTTTTTTTCTAGACAGTGTTTCTCTGTATAGCTTTGGAGCATCTCCTGGAACTCGATCTGTAGACAAGGCTGGCCTCGAACTCACAGAGATCAGCCTGCTTCTGCCTCCCAAGTGCTGGGATTAAAGGGGTGTGCCACTACTACCTGGCTTATTTTATATTTTTTTCAGACTATTGTGAAATGTATCGCTTCCCCAAAATTGTTAATTTTGTGTCCTGCTACTTTGCTGGCCGTTGGGTGTTGAAGTCACCCACTGTCGGTGTGTGGAGGTTGATGCATGATTAAGATAGAGTGATGCTTCTTGTATGACTTGGGTGCCCTGTGTTTGTTGCATAGGTGTTCAGAATTGCAATATCCTCTTGGTGTATTTTTCCTTTGATGAGTATGTAGTGTCCTCTATCTCTTCTGAATAGTTTTGGTTTGAAAAACTAATTTTCTATTTTGTCAGATTTGAAAGTGGCTAACCAGCTTGCTTCTTAGGTCTGTTTGCTTGGATTATTTTTTTTTCCATCCTTTTACTCTGAGGTGATATCTATCCTTGATGTTAAAGTGTTTTTCTTAGATGCAGCACAAGTGTGGATCCTGTTTTTGAATCTGTTCTATTTTTCTGTCTTTTTATTGGGGGAATTGAGACCACTAATATTGAGAGTTATCAGTGAGCATTGTTTGTTGATTCCTGTTTTTTGGCTATGTCGTGTGTGTGTACACACATGTATTTTCCCTCTTTTGATTTGCTGGTCTATGATTATTTATTCCCTGTGTTTTCTTGGGTATGATTAACCTCTTGTATTAATCAGAGTTCTTTAGAGTAACAGAAATTATAGAATCTCTCTCTCTCTCTCTCTCTCTATATATATATATATATATATATATATACATACACGTATATATAAATTTATATCTATATATAAATAAAAAGGACATTTATTAAAATGACTTACAGGCTATGGTCCAACTAATTCAGCATTGGCTGCCTATGAATGGAAGGTCCAAGAATCCAGTAGTTGTTACGTTTACAAGGCCGAATGTCTCAGCTGGTCTTCAGTATATGCTGGAATCCTGAAGTAATGCCAGCGAGGAAATGGACTTGCTAGCAAGCGGGGGGGGGGGGGGGGGGGGGGGGGGGGGGGGGGGGGGGTTGAGCATGAGCACGAGGTTCCTTCTTACATGTCCTGTATATAGGCTGCCAGCAGATGGTGTGGTCCAGATTAAAGGTGGATCTTTCATTTTCAAATGATTTAATTTAGAAAAAAGATCCACCATGTGGTGGTGGTGGTGGTGGTGGTGGTGGTGGTGGTGGTGGTGGTGCACGCCTTAATCCTAGCACTCGGGAGGCAGAAGCAGGTGGATCCCTGTGAGTTCAAGGATATCCTAGTCTACAGAGTGAGTTCCAGGACAGGCTCCAAAGCTGTACAGAGAAACCCTGTCTCAAAAATCCAAAAAGGAAAAAAAAAGGGGGTGGGGAATCCCTCTGTCATTTGGCTTTTAGTTAATTTCAGATGTAGTCAAATTGACAGCCAAGAATAGCCATCACACCTCTTTTAGACTGGAATTTTCTTCTAATACCTTCTGTAGGGATAGATTTGTAGATTAATACCACGTAAATTTGGTTTTTGTCATGTAATGTCTTTCTTCATTTATTGTGATTGAAAGTTTTACTGGGTGTAGTAATCTGGGCTGGCATCTGTGGTGTCTTAGTAATAATAATAATAATGTGGTGTCTGTACCCTGATAATAGGTTTCTCCACTGATGCATTAAGCCAGATTAAGCGGAATTGAAAAAGTAAAAGGACAGGTTTATTTGAGCACGGCCACTCTCGGGTGACTTCTCCAGCCCCAGAGATCAAGGTGGGAGAAGTCACACACCCAGTCTAAAGCAGGGAGCTTATATAGCTTGTAGCTGAGGGGTGATGGCATGTCTGCCAAGAGCCTGGTTTGAGCCCAAGTATGGTCAAAAGCTAGAATGCTTGGGTGTGGATTTGGGCAGCTGGCAACTTCAGGGGAGGAGCTATCATAGCCACCAAGAAGGTGGAACTGGGCTTTTTGGTGCCTTCTCTTTATTCAGAGATTTTCAGAGAGGGTGTGTTTTAGAGAGAGAGAGAGACAGGAATGGGGCTTTCTGGATCAAGCAGGAGTGAGCTGAAGGTTCCAACAGAACACTTAAGAGTCTGCAGACCATCTGTCCAGGCCCTCTGGCTCTTAGAGTCTCTTTGAGAAGTCAGGTGTTATTTTTATAGGTCTGCCTTTATATGTTACTTGGTATCTTTTCCTTGAAGCTTTTAATATATTTCCTTTGTTTGGTGCATTTCGTGGTTTGATTATTGTATGCCAAGGGGAATTTCTTTTCTGATCTTGTCTACTTGGTGTTCTGTATGCTTCTTGTACCTTGATACACACCTCCTTTAAATTAGGGAAGTTTTCTTCTATGATTTTGTTGAAAATATTTTCTTTGCCTCTGACCTGTGTTTTTTCTTCTTCCTTTATTCCTATTAATCTTAGATTTGGTCTCCATAGTGTCCCAGACTGACTGGACATTTTGTGCCAGGAGCTTATTTAGATTTAACATTTCTTTGACAATGTATCCATTCCTTCTGTTGTATTCAATGCCTGAGATTATCTCTTGCATTTTGTTGGTAAGACTTTCCTTTTATCTGTTCAAGATTCCTGCTCAAGTTCCTAAAATTTTCACTTCCAGATTTCCCTCAGTTTGGGTTTTCTTTATTAATTCTATTTTCACTTTCTGGTCTTGAACTTTTTTTTTTCATTTTCTTTCACTGTTTGTTTATGTTTTCGTAGACTTCTTTAAGGGATTTATTCATTTCTTCTTTAAGAATCTCCATCATATTTATAAAGGCGATTTTAAGGCCTTTTTCTTATGCTTCAGCTATGTTGCAATAGTTAGGGCTTGCTGTTGTGGTGATATTTTGTTTGTGTTCTAAAACATAAAGCTTGCCTCAAGATCAGAGTGTGGAGCTAGGCACTAGAGGCCAGGCAGTGGTGGCACACACCTTTAATCCCAGCACTTGGGAGGAGGAAACAGGAAGTGATATGGCTGGACAGAGAGAGGAAGTGATAAGGTGGGGTGAAGACAGGAGCTCAGCCCTTTTGGTCTGAGGATTCAGTAGAGTTTAGAAGTAGCTATGGCTTGCTCCTTTCTCTCTCTGAGAGAATCTTTCAGCATTTACCCTTAAATGTGACTCTTTGAGTTTTTATTATTAAGACCAATTAGGATTCACACTGCATGCTGTGTGTGGTTGCTGAGCTCTAGTGGGGTCATACTGTCTTTGCTGTTATTGATTGTGTTTTTATGCTAATATCTAGGCATCTGGGTTTGGGAAGATTGCAAGTCTATGACTTTATTTTTTCAAGATTGTAATTCTAGATGCTGATATCTGGTCTTGTCTTTGTTGGATGTATGTGTAGATGTAACTGTCTTGTTAAATAAGAAACACAGAGTCAATTGCAGAGTTAAAAGCCCAAGAGGTCAGAGCAATAGCTAAGAGCTAAAAACCTTACCCTTCACTGCCGCTGCTGTCCTCCTCAGCAAGAGAGCTACTTCCTGTGTGTTTGTCCTTTTTATTGACTTTCTATTCTGCCTTCTCATTGGTTGTAAACCCAACCACATGACCTCCTCGTCACTGCCCATCTATACAGACCTCCAGGTCTTCTATGGTTGGTATTGAGATTAAAGGCGTATGTCTCCATGCTGGTGGTATCCTTGAACACACAGAGATCTGCCTGTCATGTGATCGGAATTAAAGGCGTGTGCTACCACTGCCAGACTTCTGCTGTGGCTTGCCATTAGCTCTGACCCCCAGGCAACTTTATTTATTAACATACAAATAAAATCATATTTCAGTACAAATAAAATATCACCATATGTATGTTTTGTTCTTCGGTTTCTATTACCCTCTAGTTCTTAGGAGAGTGTGGTGGCTGTGTGTTACCTGGTATGAAATTCCTATGTGTTTCTGGGTGTTGGAAGCTGACATGTAGGAATGGGGATGGGCTGGGTGGGGGTTAGTTGGGGTTCAGGAATCAAAGGAGGAAAATAATCAGGATGTTTCAATAGAATCTCCTTGGTCCCCTAAGAATAGGAACAGATAGTGAGGAGAGTCCACAGCAGGTAATCTGCTGCAAAGCTGGGATGAGATTGGAGGAACAGAGGGAGAGGTGAAGATCTGCAGTTAGCCTACCTGCTTCCCTGGCCAGAGTAGTTTGTGGGGTTCCCAGGAAATACCTGCTGGGGTTCAGGGTTGGGATAAAACAGTGAGTGGGAGGAGGGAAAATTGGAGGGGAAGGTCTGTACTATCCATTGGAGATGTGTTGTATGTAGACTATAGATGAGACTGGAGGATTGGATTTGGAAGAGAGGAGGGAAAAATGGAGAGCTATAGATCACCTACCTACTTTCCTGGACAGCAAGGCTGGTAGCCTCCAGGTAATCTTTTTTTTTTTTTTTTTTTTTTTTAAATATTTTTAGATTAGTAGGTTCCCAGAGAATCCCAGAGGTGGTGCTGACAGGCAGAGAGAATATATAGGAGAAATCTGAGAGGAGGGGGAGGAAGGAATAAGAGAGGAGGAAGAGTCAGCCACCCAGCTACACAACAAGTCACTTGTGTTTCCTGTGACTTGAACTGACACTGACTCTCTTTTTTCTGGTGTCCAGCCAGAGCTGCTGTCACTTTAATAGCTTTCATTCTTTACACAGTAAGAGTGTCTACTGCCTACTCTGCTCTGCAGTCTGTGAGTGGGACAGGTTTTCTCATCTTCTTGAGATTCCCTGGTTTGTACTCGTTGGAGTGGTTAATGATGTAGCTGTACGGTTTCTCCTAAATACACTGGAAGTTGGGGGAAGCAGTCAGTACTGAGATGTGTAAGGGTAGACCTGCCTTTTTACCTTTATACTTTTAAATTTGCTAAGTATTAATCACCCTGCTGGATGGATGTAGCTGTGGGTTTCAAGTAGTCCATTGGGATTTCAGAGTTCTCTGCCCCTACGTCAGTGAGTGTCAGTACAGAAACTTAGCTCCAAAGATTTATCAATTCCCACACTCCCCCTATCTCAGGCTCACAGTGCTCATTCTTCAGAATTATTCTCAGCTGATGAAGCCTGTTCCTGGCTGCTAGTGGCAAAGCTCCCTTTCCCAGCACAGCTCACTGCCTAACAGGCCTCCTCCTTCCTACCCTTCAGCTTGTTAGTGGCCTGCCCTTCTGTTCTTACCACTGCATCCCAAGTCTCTCTCTCAGCTAGGGTTGTAGCAGGTCGAATTTAATCTGTCTTAGTTGTGATTGTTCCCTTTGTGCAGACCCCCAGAGTATTTTAGTTTTAAATAATAGGTTCCCTGAAGATAGTGTCCAGCCACAGCCCTCTGACCCAAGGGAACTCCTCTACTCCTGATCTGTCCCGTCTAAGAAGTCATTGTCCTAGCAAGACCAGCAGCTGGATTTGAGGCTTGTGAGAGCTATGGATTTGTCCTGTTAGTAGGAGTCTCAGTCTCATTTTTACTAGAGTTGCCTGGTAATGTTTGGATGAGGCTCCCCTCTTCCCTATCAGTGGAAACTGTTCTGTTTGATTTTCTATTTTTTAAAGTCACGTCTTGATTCTCTATACTGCTGAGCTATCTTATCACTCTTTTTTTTTTTGAATTTCCAGAGTTCTTTCTTTTCCACTGTTTTCATTCATCTTGGTACTTCATCATTGGGTCATACCAGAGACAAATTCTAGGCTACTTTATTGCCTGGAAATCAGTCTTCTTGTTTAAGTATTGATTAAAGTGTACTTAAAGAATGTAATATGGAAGGTTTATTGGTAGATTCATGTATTTTTATCTAAAACAGGCTTTTAGTTATATTCTTCCCAATATTTTTATTTCTAGGAGAAGAATGAAAAAATAAGAAGCCTTGAATCCAATATCAATACAGAACATGAGAAAATTTGTTTTGCTTTTGAAAAAGCAAAGAAAATTCACCTTGAACAGCATAAAGAAATGGAAAAGCAGATTGAACGAGTAAGTTATGTATTTTTTAGTACTGAAAAGAACCTTAAACACTCTAACCCAAAATTCTTTAAGTGCAAATAAAGAAACAAAGGCATAGAGAAATAAATGGCAAAACCTATAATAAGAATCTCACTCTTTCTAAACAATGTCCTGATGTTTGTTGTGTGTGTGTGTGTGTGTGTATGTGCGAGCGCGTGCGCGCACTAGGGTCTTACTATGAATCGCTGTCTGTCTTGGAAATCACTGTGTAGACCAGGCTGGCCTTGAACTCACAGAGATTTATCTTCCTCTGCCTCCTAAGTCCTGGGGTTAAAGACTGTACCACCACTACACTCGGCTCCAGTGTTTGTTTCTTTATTTTTTTTATTTTTTGTTTTCTGGGGATGGAATCCAGGGCATTTGTACGTACTAACCAAGTACTCTCCTAGTGAGAAGGGTCAGCAGATATAGCTGCCTACTGCCAAGCCTGATTATTGGGTTTAAATTCCAGGACCCCACATAGTGGAAGGAGAGACTGACTCTTGAAAGTTGTCTTCCAACCTTCATGCTCTTAAACACATGTACACAAAAGGAAATAAAATGTAATACTCCCCTCCTGCCTTTTTTAAAAAAGAAAGAATACATCAATAAAGAGAATCTTTAAAAGTGTTCATGAAAATTTATAAACTGGTAATCAGTTAGACCTAGAGGTTTGAAAGAATTAGGAATAAAAGAGCTGTGTCATGTGGGACACACTCACACCATTAATCCTAGCACTTGGGAGGCAGAGGCAGGTGCATCTCTCTGAGTTCAAGGCCAGCCTGGTCTGCAGAATGAGTTCCAGGACAGCCAGAACTTAAAAAAAAAAGGTATGTAGTTGAATTTCTAAACAGTCTTACTAAATGAGAAAAACAGAGCCAAATACAGGGGTGCCTTTATTGCCTTCCTATTCTGCCTTCTCACTGGCTCTAAGCTCAGCCACATCAATTCCTTGTCACTGCCTGTCATACAGACCTCCAATTCTCTATGGTTGGTACTGAGATTAAAGGCGTGTGTCACCACACTTGGCTGTGTCCTTGGACACATAGAGACTCTGCCTGCCATGTGATTGGATTAAAGGCGTGTGCTACCACTGCCTGACTTCTGTTTATGGCTGACTATGATCTCTGATCTCCAGGTAAACTTTATTTAAAATATCACATTTCAGCACAAATAAAATATCACTACAGAGGTATATCATTGTAGACCATAAAACACAAAGTGATAAAAACAAACTGAAGAATGCACTTGGTAGTCTGAGGAAGGTGGATCTCCATGATCTCAAGGTCAGTGTGGTCTATATAGCAAGTTTCAGACTAGCTAGGAATATATAATGAGATCTGGTTTTTCAAAACAAAATGAAAGAAACATAGTTTCACATTTTTCCAAAAGAAATTTTAAGTCTATGTGGTTTCACTGGTAAATTCTTCCTTATGTGTATGGAATACACTGATACTATATAGTCTACTAGAAGAAGATAAACTACTTTCAAACTCATTTGACAAGACAAGTACCTTAAATTCAAAAAACGAGACAAAGACAATAAAATACCATTTAATTCTTATTATAATGTGAAGGTAGGGAGTGAGAGGAAAGAGTGGTAATAGCAAACACTGACAAGAAGTGTAATCTTCATTTGTTGTTAGTATGATAGAGTGGCACCCAGTCTTAAAAACCAATAATAATAAAAGGTGAAGGGAGAGAGAGAAAAATTTTTATGTAATTGGAAGAGAATACATACTGAAATGAAAATGTGCCTATCCTACCAATAGGAAGTCCATTTCTAGGTGATTTGTTCTAGAGAAACTCTTACACATGTGAATAAACCGACTTGTGTAAAGGGTGTTATTGCAACATTGTTGCAGAAATTAAAGCAAGATACCAAAGTAAACCATAATTCCTTATGTATAGTACTTCCTAAAGTAAATGAACTAGACTGGTGTATGTCAACACAGATAAACATCTGAAACTATATTGAGTAAAAGAAAAAGCAAATTGTTAAAGCTTAAAGGTATTGTTATAGTAAATTTCAAGACAGAAAATTGTACTCCATATTGTTCATGGCTGCACATATTTAATAAAAGCACAAAAACAGACCAGTCAATAATAGGAATGGTGGAAGAAAGGGAAAAGAGATAGGTATATGATTTAATTTTTTTTTTTTTTTTTTTTTTTTTTTGGTTTTTCGAGACAGGGTTTCTCTGTGTAGCTTTGCGCCTTTCCTGGAATTCACTGGGTAGCCCAGGCTGGCCTCGAACTCACAGAGATCCGCCTGGCTCTGCCTCCCGAGTGCTGGGATTAAAGGCCTGCGCCACCACCGCCCGGCGAAATTGAAGGAAATTTCTAAAATGCAAAAATCTACTTACTTTCAAATATATTTATGTTTAAAGTGTTCCCAGTGTTTTAAAACTATAACATGAAAATCCTGTTTTTATATTTAGCTTGAAACGCAACTAGAGAAAAGAGACCAACAATTCAAAGAGCAAGAAAAGACTATGTCCATTTTGCAGCAAGATATACTATGTAAACAACATCACCTTGAATCACTAGATAGACTTTTGACGGAAAATAAAGTGGTAATGTCATGTTTTTAAAAGTACTATTTAAAAGCTAACATTTTAAGTTTATGTTGCTGTAACATAAATTTAATATACTTTCAATATTTATTTGCAAACACATTTTTCTTACCAAAATTTGTTTACAGGAAATGGAAAAAGAAAATATGAAGAAAGATGAAGCTTTGAAATCATTGCAGATTCATGTATCTGAAGAAACAGTCAAGGCTAGTATAGTATACTTTTTGTGTGTTTGTGCCTCTGTGTGTGTGTGTGTGTGTGTGTGTGTGTGTATGCACGCGCGTGTGCGTGTGAATGCATACACATGCCGTAGCATGAGTGTGAAGTCAGAGAACAATTTGCAAGAGTCAGTTTTTTCCTTCTATCATATGGGTCTTAAGAATAGAATTCAGGGGCTTGAGAGATGTCTCAGAGGTTAAGAGCACTGACTCCTCTTCCAAAGGTCCTGAGTTGAATTCCCAGCAACCACATGGTGGCTCACAACCATCTGTAATGAGATCTGGTGCCCTCTTCTGGCCTGCAGTCATACATGCTGTATACGTAATAAATAAATAAATCTTTAAAAAAAAAAAAATAAAGAATAGAATTCAGGTAATCAAGTTTGGAGACAAGAATCTTTACCTGCTAAGCTGTCTTATCAGGCCTCTATTTTACTATTACAAACATTTTTATGGTTTTCTTCCCAATAAATTATTAAAATTGTAATATATAAACGTCAATTAAACAGCTGAGGAAATGGCTCAGTACTTAAGAGTGTGTACTGCTCTTGCATAGGACCTGAGTTCAGTTCTAGCAGCCTGTGGGGCAGTTACAGCTGCCTGTAACTCTGATCTCATACCCTTTTCTGGCCTCTGAGAGTACCTGCATGCACACACACACATACACACACATACACACACACACACACACACACACACACACACACACAAAGGTTGTTTTTGTTTTTGTTTTTTTGAGACAGGGTCTCTCTGTGTAGCTTTGGTACCTGTCCTGGATCTCACTGGCCTTGAACTCACAGAGATCCACCTGGCTCTGCCTCCCGAGTGCTGGGATTAAAGGCATGCGACACCACCGCCTGGCATGGTTTTACTTTTGTACCTCATACTATAAGAGCTGGAGCCACAGAGCATGATAAGTGCTTAATTAAGATAGAAAAGGCATTAAATTTGTACATTTGTGTCTGTATGAAAAAGCAGTATATTTATTATCCTATAATCTTTGAAATGTTTCCCTTGTGAATATGGAAGAACTACTATATATTCATTATGTTTTTATTAGCGTTAATAAGTCTAAATATGCTGCCATCTTGTACCATAAATAGTTTGAATATAAAGATACCTACTTTTTGCCTAGAATTCTGTTTATAACCCATTTTGTGATTGTGTATGCCCATGCAAACAATTGTGTCTTTAGGGAGGGGGAAGAGAGGGAGAGAGAGAGAGAGAGAGAGAGAGAGACAATATTTGTGTATGTGTATAGTACATGTGCATATGAGTGTATGGAGGCTAGAAGTTGAAATCAGGTCTCTTCCTCAATCTTATTTTTTGGGGATTGGATATGTCATCAAACCTGAAGCAGCTATTTAGCCTGGCCTGTGAGCTTCAGTGACCTGCCTGTCTCTGCCTTCTTAATGCTAGAATTATGTACACATGCATGCTGCCAGAGATCTGAACTCTGATCCCCATGCTTGTTGTGAGCTATCTCCCCAGCCCAACAATTACATCATTATTTATTGTTATGGGTCTGAGGTCACTTAGAGATTTACCATGACCATAAATATATTTTAATAAGAGGCTTTATATTTTAGATACTGACATCCAATGTGGGGCCAGGACTGTACCTGAGAGTGCTCCCAAGATTCATGAAGGCTTATGAAGGAAAAGCCACACGATTGTATATATTTTGTCTATGTGTAGGCAGGGTCTAATTATATGTCTTACAGTTGTTCTAGTCATCTTTTTGATCAGAGTAAACACGTTTGATTACAAATGCAGAGATAGCAGTTAGTCTTATGACCTACTATTTACTAGAACAGCAAATTTTACAAGATCAGACAATTTAAGAATAGTTTTCAACATTTGAGAGAAAAAGGAAGTGGGCTGCTAGGATATAGCCTCTATAAGTTAGGGGCCATAGCTAGACTTTCTTTGGACCGCCAGCTCCCAAATAATGATATGGCGAATTTTTATTAAGTGTGAAAGCTTGGCCTTACCTTAGGCTTGTTTCCAACTAGCTCAATTAACTCATTTATATTAATCTATGTTCTGCCATATGGCTCATTATCTCTCCTCTATACTGCACATCTGACTTCCTCTGTGTCTCACTGGCTAATCCTGACCTCTCAGATTCTTCCCAGAGTTCCTATATCTGACCAGAAGTCCCGTCTATCTTCTCCTTCTAGCTATTGGCTGTTCAGGTCTTTATTAAACCTATCAGAAGGTGCCTTATGCAGATGAGGTAAAGCAGCCATCTTCACAGTGTATAAAAAGGTTATCCCACAACAAGGGGTGTAGCTGGAGTTTTCCTGCCTGGCCCACAGCCAGGACAAATCTCTCTCACCTGCCAGTCCCACAGCCACTCAGACCCGACCAAGTAAACACAGAGACTTATATTGGTTACAAACTGTATGGCCGTGGCAGGCTTCTTGCTAACTGTTCTTACAACTTAAATTAATCCATTTCCATTAATCTATACCTTGCCACATGGCTCGTGGCTTACCAGCATCTTCACATGCTGTTTGTCATCGTGGTGGCTGGCAGTGTCTCTCTCTCTCTCAGCCTTCCACTTCCCAGCTTTATTCTCCTCCTTGTCCCACCTATACTTCCTGCCTAGCCACTGGCCAATCAGTTATTTATTTATTGACCAATCAGAGCAACACATTTGCCATACAGAATATCCCACAGCAAAGGGGCTTTCATGTTAGATGTGCTTTTTGGTCTCTCAAGCATACTAAGTCTAAACCTTAAATGTAATGTTAACCATCACATTATAGTTATTCCTATAGAATTCAACAATTCTTTAACATTTAGTGTCTTGTCAGTTCATTTACATATGTAAGGGTAAACTTAATTTTAAAAAGTTAGTATGCAGGTCAAGCATAGTAGCCCCTGCCTGTAATCCTAGCACTTGGGTGAAGAGTTTTCCAAAAGTTTGAGGTCAACCTGATCTATACAGTGAGTTCCAGGCCAGCTAAGGACCTTTTTTCAAAAAGCAAGGAAAAAATAAAAAAATAAATAAATTTGTATGTTAAGGTTGTAGGCATGAAACTTTCATTAAATAATATTCAATAGCTATTAAACTTCTAGTTCTTATTAAGTTATCTAGAATAAGCAGTAATTTAATAAGGAATTTCCATATATTAATGGCCAGATGAGAGATAAGAAATCAGAAAATAAATGAATTGTACATTGAATATTTTTTCCCTTGATGCTTTTAATGAGTTTTCTGTTTGGGGAAAAAATAAATATGAGAAAGAAATATAGAAGCAAAATTCCTTTGTTCAAATATAAGTAAGTTTTTTGTTGTTGTTGTTGTTGTTGTTGTTGTTTGTTTGTTTTTTTGAGACAGGGTTTCTTTGTGTAGCCCTAGCTGTCCTGGAACTCACTTTATAGACTAGGCTGGCCTCAAACTCACAGAAATCTGCCTGCATCTCCTCCCAAATGCTAGGATTAAAGTCATGCACCACCACACCTGGCTAAATATAAATAATTTTGACATGGAATATCTATAGCAGTAAGCTAAATGTCTGGGATCCTCTGTTTCTGATTGTGTCATTATCTTTCATAACTTTTGAGTAAGTTTCTTTGCATGATTCAATTTGTTAATTGCAAGACCAATAGTTAGATGAACTGTGTGTAGGAAAGTTAAAACTATCAGTTTTAAATTGTATTTTACAAGTATGATCAGTGAGAACTAAAAGGTTGAGTCTATGGATGTTGCTCAGTGTGAGGTCCCTTTCTAAGTATGAGCAAAGCCCTGCATTTGATTCCTAGCACCAACATAGTTAAAATAAATTCTGAACAGGTAACAAAATCTGTTAAATAGAATGTTGAAAGAATGTGCCTTAGGTTTAGAGATCATATTTGTTTTTTTTCTATATTTTCTGTCAATTTCCCTTCTGGATTATCTGCCTCCCCAATAAAGAAAATGGACAAATAATCAAGCATTTACTGAAGCTAAGTAGCCTTAGATCATCAGTTGATTATTCCCCACACTGTGTACCTGAAGAGGTTATTTCGTTCAGCAGAGCAGTTAATTTTTGTGCTTATTTTATTCATGTACAAGAAGTTTATATACAGTATATGTTAATTATTTACATATAATTAAGACAAAAATTCTTTAAAGAAAGAAATCTTTTATTATTCATTGGTTTTGCTTGATTTGTTAATTTTTACCTACCTGTTTTTAAAATGTCAAACCCACAAAAGAATTCAAAGTATAGCCCAAGGAACATCTGTGTACCTCTCACCTAGATACACTGTCCTTAAAGCTATAGCTATACTTACATCGTTCTTCTTCCCTCACCAAATACACATCCATGCTTATATATGCACCACATCTGCCATAAACATTCTTCCCTTTTTGGCAGCCACCTGAGAGAAGGTGGTGTTTAACAGTTTCCCAATTATCTAAAAATACTCTTTATAGTCTTGGTTAAAGCAGCAGTATTATCCGGGAACTTGTTAGACTTGCAGGATATCTAGCCATATTCTGTGTCAGTCTTGACAGCTTTCTAAAGGTGTGGCGACTAATGTATCTTAGAATTTTTTTTTTTTTTTTTAAAGATCTAACCCAGGGCCTTGTGTATGCTGTCTTTTTTTTTTTTTTAATTTTCTGAGACAGAGTTCCTCTGTGTAGCCCTGGCTGTCCTGGAACTCATTTTGTAGACCAGACTGGGCTCAGACTCACAGAGATCCACCTGCCTCTGCCTCTGAGATGCTGGGATTAAAGGCATGTACCACCACTGCCCAGCATTTATGCTGTTCTTATGTATGCTGTGTTCTACCATTGAGCCACAACCCCGCCATCAGATGTCACTAGTTTACGAGGAACATTTATTGGACCATCTTTAGAGTGGTTTATGCCATGTGAATGTCTGATTCCTCAGTAACCTCATAACAATGGTTTTACCATCTTTTAATGTACTAATGACTGTTCTCTTGCTTAAGAGAGAGAACATACAAAGATTTTTACCTTTCTTTTTATTTATTTATTTGTTTGTTTGTTTGTTTGTTTATTGATTGAGACGGGGTTTCTCTGAGTAGCCCTGGTTGTTCTAGATCTCTCTCTGTTGACGAGGCTGGCCTTGAACTCAGAGATCCGTCTGCTTCTGCCTCCTGGGTGCTGGGATTAAAGGTGTGTGCCACTATGCTTGGGTGGATTTTTGTTTTTCATAATACAACTGTTAATTTAAAAATTTAAAACTAGAGGCTGGAGACAAAGGACTCAGGTTTGGTTCCTAATATCCACATTGGGTAGCTTTGCAACTGCCTCTTAACTCAGCTCCAGGGAGATCTGAAACCCTCTCCTGGACTCTGTGGACACCTGCATTCACATGTGCACAATTCCACATGCACACATACACATAATTTTAAAAAATTTTAAACTTGAAAAATTGTTGTTACTAGGACAACAGTTTTTTTTTTTTTTAAACAAAGATAGTCATTCATAATGGCAGACTTCTTGGCTGTCGGTAGTTATATAAACAAGCTGAGATAGCTAGTCTTTCATAATCATGGCTCCAGAATTCCCTTTTAGAAAGAATTTCAGGGGTGATTTCATGATGACATTTCATAATGTCAAATGGTGTCTGAGAAGAAAATTTCTCTTTTTTTCCCCAATCTTGCTGAAATTTCTTTCACAGTTTCAAATGTGATGTTTTTATTCAGAGACAAGGAATCTCCCCCTGCAACATTAAAGCTCAAAATTATAAGGGGAAAGAAAAAAGCAAGATAAGAACCTAGTAATAGATGAGTATGGACATGGATACAAATTAAGGACATTGAGCTAATTTTTAAAAAGTTATTAAATTTGATTTGCTCTTTAATATTCGATAACAAAGCATTTATACATACTTGAGTCAAGTTATATTGCTGTTTTAAAAAATATTTTCACAGATCCTAAGCAAAGAAGATTTTTTTCCTCTGTGATAAATGTATCTTCTTAATAAACCAGCATTTCCAAATGTTCTTATCTTAGCAACACTCATAGGACATTTGTTCTTAATTTCCTGTTTTTATTATTCAAGGAGGCTTAAGACATAAGTAATCTGCTTACCTTTTTAAGAGAGTGTTTTTGTGTGTCTGCTTTACATTCTTTCAAATGACTGTTTGTACTCTTGATCTTTCCAGTGTCCACTGTTGTCTTTCATAGTGCCTTGCCCCTGAACACACTTTCTCCTTTGTTCTGGACTCTATTCTGTGGTTCTTCTTTAGTTCCCTGATATGCCATGATTAATACATTTTTTTAGTCAATCTTTACTACCATATCATTTTATATCCTATACAGAGCTATTTTAGAGGTTTAAATTTTTATTTATTACTTTTTGTTGTGTTGCACATGTGCGTGTGTTACAGCATGTGGTTGGAGGTTAGAATAACTTGCTGAGTTGATTGTTTCCTTCCACCATAGGTTCTGGGAATCAAACTCAGGTCATTAGGCTTGCACAGCTAGTGCTTTTTCTGCCTAGCCTTCTTACTGGCTCAATTTTAGTGTTTCAAGCAGTAAGTAACATTAGGAGATAAATCTGTAAAATATTGTACAAATAATAAGTATTCATTAATTAATAATTCAATTTTTTTTTTTTTTTGAGACAGGATCTCTCTCTGTAGCCCTGGATGTCCTGAACTCACTTTGTAGATCAGGCTGCCCTGGAACTCACAGAGATTTGCCTGTCTCTGCCTTCCGAGTGCTGGGATAAAGGCATGTGCCACCACACTCAGTCTTGATTTTTCTCTTCTTTTCTTTTCTCTTTTCTTTTTCTTTTCTTCTTCTTCTTCTTCTTCTTCTTCTTCTTCTTTTTCTTCTTCTTCTTCTTCTTCTTCTTCTTCTTCTTCTTCTTCTTCTTCTTCTTCTTCTTTTTTGATGTTATATTTTGCTTCTTTTTACTTTAGGTCAGACAACTGGATTCAGCATTAGAAATCTGTAAGGAAGAACTTGCTTTGCATTTGAATCAATTGGAAGGAAATAAGGAAAAATTTGAAAAACAGCTGAAGAAGAAGTCTGAAGAAGTAAATTATTCTTTTATTTAGGAAAAATTTCAAGTGTTTGTTGTTGTTGTTGTTTTAATTTTGTGATAGTATTTTCAATATACTTTATTTTGTTTGGGTTTTTTAAAGACAAGAATGGTCAAGGGTATCCAGGGCTAATTTCAGACTCGCTATATAAGTAATGGTATAGAACTTATGATCTTCCTGCTTCTACTTATCAAGTGCTAAGATTACAGGTGTGTACAAACATACCTGGTTTATGTGGTTCTAGGTGTCAAGTTACTTTTCTGCTACTATACTAAGACACCATGACCAAGGCAACTTAGAGAAGAAAGAATTTATTTGGGGCTTCCAGTTTCAGAGGGTGAGTCCTTGACCAGCATGGCAGGGAGCACAGCAGCAGGCAGGCACTGGATCACCAGCTCAGAGCTTATGTCTTGAGACACAGCCATGAGGCAGAGAGTAAACTGGGAATGGCTGAGTCTTTTTTTTTTTAGGTTCTTAAATCATTTTTATTGAAAAGTCAATTGACCATAAATCTGTGAATTTGTTTCTGAGATACAATTAGGTCCCATTATGCACACATCTTTAATTTTCAGTGACAATACCTGTTGTATGAACTATTGTAACTTTTTTTTTCATTTTTCTTTATTAAGAAATTTTCTATTCACTCGACATACCACCCACAGATCCCACCTCCTCCCTCCTCCCACCTCCCAGCCCTCCCTCCCAAGCCACCCCACATCCCCACATCCCCCAAATCAAGATCTCCCATGGGGAGTCAGCAGAGCCTGGCACACTGAGCCTAGGCAGGTGAATGGCTGAGTCTTTTGCAGCTTCAAAGTTACCACCAGTGAGATACCTCTAACAATGCCACACCTCTTAATCTTTCCCAAACAGTTCCATCCACTGGCGACAAAGTATCCAAATATATGAGCCTGTGGGAGCCATTCTCATTCAAACCACCACATTAGGCAGACTCTGTCAACTGAGTTACATTCTAATCTCCTTAATATGCTTTAACTGTATATTTTTATATATATTACATTAAATGTAATTTTTGTTTGTTTTTTTGAGACAGGATTTCTGTCTTAACAGTACAGACTGTACCATAACTCACTTTGTAGACCAGTTTAACTTCTATATATATGACATTAAAAACAAATTCTAAATTATATATTCTTTAAAGAACAGACTTTCATTTAGTATAGCATAAAATACAATACCTTAAAATTCAAATTCACTTATTTTTAGGGAATCAGAATAGTAAGTTAGAGTTTTACAATTATTACATAGTAATTTTAATATAAAATGAATAATATTTAAAGCACTGTTTTAGACATAGAAGTATAAAATTCTTCAAAACTTTAACTTTTTTGGTGGTGTTGGTTTTTTTGAAACAGATTTCTCTGTGTCATCCTGGCTGTTCTGAAACTCATTCTGTAGACCAGGCTGGCGTCAAACTCAGAGATCCACCTGCTTCTACCTCCCTAGTACTGACAAAACTTAAAAATTTTGTTTTTGTTTGTTCTTACTTGAAGGATTAAGAATTAGCTTTATAGGGAGACATGGTGGTACTTACTTATAATTCCAGTCCTTGGATGGCTGACTTCGAAGGAGCATGAATTTTAGGCATTCCTGAGCTACTTAGTTTTAAGCCATCCATGGCTACATAGTGCGATAATATTTTTTAAAAAAATTAGGTTTAGCAATTAAACTTTATTGAGATAAATTTTTCAGTTAATAGATTAAAGACCTTTCTTGAAGGGCTGAAGAGATGACTGAGCAGGTAAAGATACTTGCCCCAAAACTGATGATGACCTGTGTGCTATCCCCAGAACCCACATGGTAGAAGGAGAAAACTGACTCCTCCAAGTTGTTCTCTTACCTCTACATGTATACACACATGAAACAAAAATTAACACTTTCATTAAGAGTTGTCTTATTATCTCTATAACCTCAGCATCCACCCACATAGACAGGTAAGGCCTTGCTATGTAGCTCTAGCCAGCTTCTAATTCATAATTCTCCTGCCTCAGCCTCCTAAGGGCTGGGGTTTTAGGTGTGCAGCATCATACCTACCTTAAAGACATCTTTTAAAGGAATTTTGGAGACCAGCATACTGAGACCTTAAATATTTGTAGTGAAGTTTCGTAGTTGATATTGTTATTCTTATATGTATTAGAATATGAATAGTCTGGATCAATTTGCTGCAATATTAGTTTATAAACTACTATAATATTAACACTGTATAATATGATAAGTATCACCTGATTTTATTATGTAGTGATTTTGGTTTTATATCTGTAAAAGGGAAAGTTCATCAAGTGAACTATATGTATATCAATTCAGGGCTACCTCTGTCTTTTCCTTTCTGGGATGGGTTGCATAGAGCATTCTCCTTCCTGTAACAGTAAAATGTGAGTTGATGTGTTGTAGTCTTGGTACCTAGAAGACGCTGTTGGTGACTTGAGAGTAAAAGGTCACATAAGAACAGTTGACCAGCTATCTTAGGGTTTCTATTGCTGTGAAGAGACACCATGACCACAGCAGCTTTTATAAAGAAAACATTTAACTGGGGTAGTTTGCTTACAGTTCAGAGGTTCAGTCTATTATCATCATGGTGGGACATGGTGGAGTACAGACAGACATGGTGCTGTAGCTGTAGCTGTAGCTGAGAGTCCTATATTTTGCAGGCAACAGGAAGTGATCTGTGACACTGACTGATGCTTAAGCAAAAGAAACCTCAAAGCCTGCCCCCACAGCGACACACTTCCTTCAACAAGGCCACACTTCCCAATAGTGCCACTCCCTATGAGCCTATAGGGGCCAATTACATTCAAAGTACGATACCAGCCCATAAGTATAAAAATGCTTTCCTTCTCAGAAAGGAAAATGTTTCAGAATCCTAGCCAGCGGAAACAATGTATTGCATAGGAACATTTCAAAATCATGCCAAACAAGAGCAAACCCTATTAACATCTCCTGTATTCATAATCTTTTATAGGAATAACCCTATATTCATCTCTCCAGTCGGAATAATGAACCATGCTGTTCTCCATGACCAACTATGCTACATGAAAAATGGGATAATTAAGAAAGACAGCTTTTACATTTGTTGTTTTTTATTTGAAACATTTCATTGTAACAAGGAATATATATCTTTGCTAGGTATATTGTTTGCAGAAAGAGCTAAAGATAAAGAATCATAGTCTTCAAGAGACTAGTGAGCAAAATGCTATTCTACAGCATACTCTTCAGCAACAGCAACAGATGTTACAGCAAGAGACAATTAGAAATGGAGAGCTAGAAGATATTCAGACTAAACTTGAAAAACAGGTATATATTATTGACTAAAAATAGTTTAATTTTTATGAAATAGAATTTAAAAATCATTTGCAGATTTTTGATTAAGAAAATGTAATCTGGGATTGGGGATTTAGCGCAAGGCCCTGGATTCGGTCCTCAGCTCTGAGGGGAAAAAAAAGACAAAATAACAGAAAATGTAATCAGACCTAGATCCCCTACTAAGATGGCAATATTTCTCATGCCATAAAATTTTATTATAATTTAGACTTCTTGACTGAATTTTTCTTAAATCTAAATTTAATACCTATCCAAATTATTGCGTTTTCTGAAGTCTCCTTTTTGAATAACACATGTGGTATAACATTCTTTAATGAATTGGAAAAACAGTACAATAAAAGAACCCCTTTACCCCCAAAATAAAACTGCTACTGAGCTAAACAAATAAGTTATGGGATTGTAGCCCATGGTACAGTTCCTGTATAGCACACACAAGACTGTGGGGTCGATCTCTAAGACCACAACAAAGATTTGTTTAAATAAAATAAATATGTTATCATTTCACTGAAAGAATCCTAGACAATTTGATAATAAAGACAAGAGACTATTTTTTTTTTTTTTTTTTTTTGGATTTTAAGACAGGGTTTCTCTGTGTAACAGCCCTGGCCGTCCTGGAACTTGCTTTGTAGACCAGGCTGGCCTTGAACTCACAGAGAACTACCTGCCTCTTCCTCCTGAGTGCTGGGATTAAAAGTGACTAATCTTTTTTATTTCTTGTACACTTTGTCTCAATCTCTTTCATATATGTTCCATTTTTTTCTTTCAAAAGAAATAAAATTTATAAAAAAAATTATGAATTATTTTATTTTATTTAGTACACTATAACTTTTTATCATATATATATATGTGTGTGTGTGTGTGTGTGTGTGTGTGTGTGTCTGTCTGTCTGAATTTGTCCTCAGCCCCCCACTCCCTTTTTTTGACATGAGAAGTAAGAACTTTTCAAATTGGGATAATAAAAAGGGAAAATTTTACTATTGTGTTCATTTTTTTTTTTTTTGGTTTTTCGAGACAGGGTTTCTCTGTGTAGCTTTGCGCCTTTCCTGGGACTCACTTGGTAGCCCAGGCTGGCCTTGAACTCACAGAGATCCGCCTGGCTCTGCCTCCCGAGTGCTGGGATTAAAGGCGTGCGCCACCACCGCCCGGCTTGTGTTCATTTTTTAACCTTCCTCCCGGTTTCCTCTTCTTCCTTTTTCTTCATTGTTGTGCTGATGATTGAGTTTAGGGTCTCACCTTTAGCAGGCAAGCACTCAGTCTCACCTGGACTTGTTCAATTCTTATTACTCTCACTTTACTGTTAGATGTGCTCCCTTCTATAAAAATAGTAAGTTATATATGAATAACTTATTTCTATTATTAAGAAGTTAGTTATGCTTTATGGTTTCAAAGCATCCTAGTTTATATTTTGATTATACTGTTAATACTAAGTTTAAGTTTTGAAATGGGGTCTTTTTATATTGCCTAAACTGGTCTGGAGCTCCTACACTCAGGCTGTCTTCCTGCTTCAGCTTTTCCAGTGTCTAAGGCTATAGTTAACATTCTATTACACCAGCTTACTTTGATTTTTATTTCTTGAAACTGAATGATATATTTATGAAAGTATTTTTCCTCTGTAAAATGTTGGAGTATAATTGCATTTGAGAACTTAACTGAAAACTGCCTTACCAGGTATCAAAGCAAGAACAAGAGCTCCAGAAACAAAGGGAAAGCTCCGCAGAGAAGCTGAGAAAAATGGAAGAGAAATACGAGACAGCCATACATGATGCAGATCTGAAAAGGCAGAAAATTATTGAGCTTACTGCTACTGCCAGGTAAAATTTGAATATAATAAGTTTTTTTTGGCTTTCTCAGTTTTGTATCAGTAATGTCAGAATTTCAGAGTTTAATAATAATCCAGTGAGATATTTGTGTAAGGAATTAATTTCTTCATAACCTATATCCCTGCAGCATTTTGTTGTATCTCCCTCATAACCTTCATTATATCCTTTTTTTGTATTATAGTACAGTACTTTTACTTTCTTACATTGAGATATGAACCCTATTAGCTTATTTTGGGGTTCCCCACAACATTTGGGACAACTAGCACAAATCCTTATACTTTATAGGCACTTAGGAACTGTGGTATTAAATTACAAATAACACTGAAAGTTGTAGGCAAAGATCTCACACTGGGGAAACTCTCAGGGAACCTAATTGGTTTTTTTGTTTGCTTGTTTTGTTTTTGTTTTTTTAAGACAAGGTTTTTCTGTGTAGCTCTAGTTGTTCTGCAACTCGCTCTATAGACCAGGCTGGCCTCAAACTCAGATCTGCCTGCCTCTGCCTCCCCAGTGCTGGGATTAGAGGTGTGTTTTGCCACCACCTGGCCAGGGGACCTAACTGTATGTGGGATAAATAAAATAGCTGTCAGCTTTGACTGAATATTCAAAATCATCTCAGTGAATCTGTGAGCTGAAACAGGTACTTAGTTATCTAGATTCCACTTTGTCAATAAGAATTGACATAATTTTAACTTTTTTTATACCAGTAGCAGTCAAGTGTGAACTTACATTCAGAAACTAAAACCTTATGTCCCCAGATTTCCTTTCTCATTGATAGTGATTGATAGATAGGGACCTTGGGCTTAGAGTAGTACTTACTTTACCAGATATACTCCTTGATAAGTCTTTTGCACCCTGAAGGCCTCTTCGTTGACGCATCAAACTGAATCAGACCAAATTGGAAAAGCTCAGGTTTAATGGGTAATGCATTCCCAGGTGATTCCTGGCCCCTCAGAGAGGAGACAGGGCCCCCAGACTGGAAGAACCACATGTCTGTTTTCTGGGATGCAGCTTATACACCCTGTGGGAGTGGTCTTGAGCCTCTCTGGGGGAGGAGCTGTGTTTGGAGGGCTTTGAAGGGGCGGGTTTGGGGAAAGAGATGGGGGAGGGGAGTTGAGGTGGATCTTGAGACCAGAACATTCCAGACTCTTTGGGTATAGGGTTGCCAGGGTGCCAGTCCAAACACTCCTCTCAACAGTGCCAGTGAAATAGTCTTCCTTCAAGATTTCTCTTTTGTATTGACAGGTATCTATCCACTAATTACAGCCTTTCCACTAGTGACTTTTGTGAGTGTAAGCGAGTGTTACATCTCTGTGGGGGAAGGTATCCTGACTGTTTGGGGAGTCAGGCTGTACCTGGAGTTGGCTATGGTGGGGGATGATCTCTCTGCAGGATATAGCAATCTCACTCCTCTCCTCTCCTGGAGAGCCACTACAGCTGAGCTTTGCTCAGCCCCCACATAAGGGGGCTTCCCAGCAGAGCTCTGCTTCTTCTCCAGCCCAAGATGTTGCTTTTGCTTCTTTTGCTTCACTCTGCTAAAAGGGAAACCTTTGCAAAAATGTAGCAGTCTCCTCTGGCTCCTGCAAAAAGTTACTTTTTCTGCTTCAGCCTTGCTCATTCCCTTAAGAGACGTCTTAGCAAAGTTCTTCTATTCTGCTCCACCTTGCTCAGCCCCCTAAGGGATGTCATAGCCGATGAAGATCTTCATACCAAACACTCTTTTGAGAAAGAGATTTATCCGGGAAGGAGAAGTCCAGGAGAGTGGCTGCCTCTATCAAGATGGGAATAGCACAGCCCACAACTGAACAGCAGGGTGGTTTATATAGGGTTTCTTAGGGGCGGGGTTTCTCCAGGGAGAAGATTTTTCTGTTCAGGGTTTGGTTAGTTTTTCCTGCTCAGGGATTGGTTACTTTTGTTGGTCAGAGGCCAAGATGGCTCTGATTTCAGAGCCAAACTGTGTTTCTTTCACTGGCTTTTTTTTTTTTTTTTTTCTTTGCTCTAATTCTAATGCCAGGGCATATTTCTTTCACTGACTCTGATTCTAGGGACAAAGTATGTTTCTTGGCACTGGTTTCAGAGTCAGGGCCTGTTTCTTTGGTTCTGGATTCAGGGATAAAGTGTTTCTTTCCCTGGCTTGGGTCCCAGATCCAGGCTGTGTTTCTCTCACTGGTTCTATGTTCCAGGGTCAGGGTGGGTTTCTTTAGCTGGCCCCTTTTCCCTACAGTGAGGCCATGAAGCCTATTCACATTCTAACTTTATCCTTATTTATGCCAAACACAAGAAATTCTAAATTTCCAAACCAAGGCCCATTGCTGTTTTCTCCCATCCTATGCCAACTTCTGAAAACTTCCATTGTACCTTCTGGAATTCATAGACATCCTCTGTATTCTGTCTTTTCTTTTCTCTTACTATAATAAACCTCTTACATTATCCTGAGGACATTACTTGTTCTCTTGTGGGCTTGTAAACTAAAAAACCTTTTCCCCAAGTTCTTGTACCAGAGAGTCAAATGTGTACTCTGAACTAATGTCATCGAATAATATCATTCCTTATTGCTGATATTTATAGGCCACTTGGTTTATTGTTCTCTCCAATACCAGCTCTGGCTAGTATTAATTTAACTAGTCAGTTATGACTTGAGGTTTCTTCTCTGATTATTATATTTCTGTCATGTTTCAGACATCCCCACAGTTTATCCTAGAGCTGACCATTTCTAATATTACTATTGTGTTATTCTCTGATACCTTTGCTTGCTTTTGTTTGTTTTGTTTTTGAAACGAGACCTCAATATGTAGTTTGGGCTACCTTCAAATTTACCAACTTTGTTCCTCAGCTTCCCCAGAACTGAGATTATAGCTATATGACACCATATTTGACTCTCTGTACTTTACTAACCTTAAAATCAAGTTAGTCATTAAAATCACTTTGTTAACCTTCTCTTTGGCTTACGTATCACAGAGTTAAAATCTAGTTCGGGGCCGGGGAGATGGTTCAGTTGGTAAAGTACTTTTTACATAAACATAGGACCTGTGTTCATATTCCCAACATCCATGTCAAAAGCTGGGCATGGTAGCCTGCTCCTGTACTCACACCATTGAGAGGCACAGACAGGATCCCTGACCAAGCTGAAATGCTGAGTCTGTAAAAATCTCTTACATATTCAATAAGAGACCATATATCAAAAATAAATAAATAAGACCTTTGACTTTGACCTCTGGCCTCCACATGCATGTGCATATACATTCATGTACATCTGTATATGTATATACACACAAGAACACATAAGCATGCATATACCCAAAATCTACCTCACACTACTCGATGCCAGCATCTTTAAAGAAGTCATAGTCTTGTGTTCCCTAATATTGTGTGGCAAGCTAAGTGCTTCATAGAAGATTGGTTTTGCACCTTTGCTTCTTCTTTCAAAACTCTACCAACTCTTTGATACCAACTGGGCATCTTTCTCCTTCACTGGAACAAATGAAACATTTGCTTCTTCCTCTTTTTTTTTTTTTTTCTTGTTGAGACAGGGTTTTTTTGTGCAACAGTCCTGGCTGTCCTGGAACTTGCTTTGTAGACCAGGCTGGCCTCGAACTCAGAGATCCACCTACCTCTGCCTTCCGAGTACTGGGTTTAAGCTTCTTCCTTTTTTAATCCCTATTTTAAAGGTGTTTTATTTGCATGTATTAATTGTATATAACAGTGGGTTTCATTATGACATTTTCATGCATGTACATAATGTATTTTGATCATATTCATCCTCTGTTGTTCTCTCTTGTTCCTTCCTATTCCCTACCAGCCCTTATCTGTTTTCATGTCTTTTTTGTGACCCAGTGAGTTTCACTAGTCAACTCCTACTTTTTTGACTTTTGAACAGTCACACCAAAAACTTATTGACTATAACCAATAGCCATTTTCAATAGGAAAGTTATATCCTAAATAGTGATTTAGGAAGGTCATGGATTCATAATTGCACTTCACAAGAAAGCTGTACTTTATTTAGCTCTTCATGAGGTTTCTCCTTTCCCACTATTGGTATTTCTTTCTTTTTAATTTCTGAAACTACAATTTAGAAAACTTATTTCTCTCAAAATAGTAAAGTTAAACATATATCTCTGTATGTCTCCTTTGATCGGCTTTTAAAGTGTTTTTCAGATAGAAAAGAAACCAATTTATTGAACGTCTACCTTCCTTGTTCTAGGTGTACACATTAACTCATTTAATCTTAAACCTATGATGTGTTTATTATAGTTTTTAAAATGAGGAAGATGAAACTCAAAGAAATTAGACTACAGAAGTACACAGGTTAGACATGCTCTGAAACCATAAGGTTTTTGGTTTTTATTCTTCAGTTATATAACTATCAAGTTTCTAAAGTCTAGTATTTAGTATTAATAATTTCTTTGGTCCTATTTCTCATCTCAATCTTGATTCCTTTCAATAACACTGAGGCAACAAAGTGAAGTGTTTCTAAAATATTAATGGGTTTAAAATCAGCCATAAAAAATTTTAAGGTTGGACTGGAGAGATGGCTCAGTGGTAAAGAACACTTGACTGCTCTACCAGAGGACCTGGGTTCAATTCCCAGTACCCACATGGCAGCTCACCGCTGTCTGTAACTCCAGTTCCAGGGAATCTGAGACCCTCACATAGGCATACAAGCAAGCAAAACACCAGTGCACATGAAATAAAAATGAGAAAAAAAATTTAAGGTTATAGTTAAAATTTGGGTATTATTGATTATATAGATAATATTTTTAAGTTCTTAAATATTTATTAATGCTTTATTTACTCAACTTTATCAAGAAAGGAGTACTTGCTCAGAAGTGAAATGAAGGTGTTTATCTCTAGATAATACTAAGACTTTAAAACAAAACGAAGAATATTTTTAGTGGAAAGTTTCCAAACTAAGTATTTTCTTGGCATTTCTACCACCTCTGAATAATTATTGTGTATATTGCTTAGTATATTATCCTAACTAAACCTTGAGGCATAAAGAACTGTGATTGTTCATTTACTAAATGACTAAGTTTTTGAGTTTTTAATATGTGTTTTTTTGTAAAATTTTCACAATATCTTTGTTATCCAGATTTAGTGCTGATAAGGTATCAGCTCTTATCATTATATGTCAGTCTCTTTTGATTATTCTCTTCTAATTATTCATTTTATATCAATTCTCTACAGAGAATTGTTTATCTTGCATTTTAGAAATGTAAGAGTCAGTATGCTAGGTACATAGTTTAGTGGTAGAATGCTGGCCTAGCATGCACAAAGGCCCCTCTATCCATCTATCCATCCATCCATCCATCCACCCATCCACCCATCCACCCATCCATCCACCCATCCACCCATCCATCCACCCATCCATCCATCCATCCATCCATCCATCCATCCATCCATCCATCCATCATCCACAAGGATATCTAATTTTGTGTGCTGTTTCAAAGATTCAATACTTAAGTGAATATGCTTTTGGAGTTTAAATTTCTAACAGAGGGACTTGAAATTGCCTCTCAGTATATTGTTTTGTCTGGAGTGTCTGTGCTGGAACAAGTTCTGAATGAAGGTTAGAAAACCTGACCCATTCACTTTTACTGTTATTGTCTGCTTGTGTTGCCTCACAGTCTTTTAGTTCCCACATTTGTGTAACATGGAAAGCTGGTCAATCTAGGAATCTCTAGTCACTTTTAAAACTAAAAAAGACATCCTAAAAAATAAAAATTACCAGTTCCATAGGAGTAATATGGTCTTTATGGTAATTTGATTACTTAGCCTCTTTATTGTTGTTTCAGATAATAAAAATATCATGTGCTTATCCCGAACATTCTCAATGTTATATATGAAACTTTGTAAAGTTGTATGTAGTTAGACTGAAAAGAATGCTGGCCTTGGTTTTTTCAATGGTATATCGGTGTAAGGAATAATAATACATTGTTTGGAGAAGTTTTAAAGTTATAATAGGTGACGTAAGATCCTGAGTAGAGATTTTGCTGATATTTAACCTAATAAAAGTTACAGACTTAAAGTCAGAGACAAGTCTTTTGATTTAAAGTTTCCAAATTACCTGTTCTGTTGTTTGTTTTTAATTAGGCAAGCCAGACTTGAGATGGATCAGTACAAAGAAGAGCTGTCTAAAATGGAAAAAGAAATAATACATCTGAAACGAGATGGGGAAAATAAATCCATACATCTCTCTCAGTTAGATATGATTTTAGATCAGACAAAGACAGAACTAGAAAAGAAAACAAATGCAGGTAAGCAACTAGTTTGCTGAATTTAATTTAAATACAAAAACCTGTGTATTTATGTGTGATGGTTTGAATAGGAATGGCCTCTATAGGCTCAGATATTTGAATGCTTGGTCATCTTGGAATGGCACTGTTTGAGAACGATTAGGAGGCGTGGCCTTTTTGTAGGAACTATGTTACTAGGGGTGGGCTACTGCCCCATTGTCTGCTTGAATGCCACCATGTTCTCCACTGTGATGATAACAAACTAAACTTCTAAAACTGTAAGTAAGCCCCCAGTTAAATGTTTTCTTTCCTAATTGTTGCCTTGGTCATGGTGTGCCTTCACAACAGAACACTGACTAAGACCTTATATTTAAATGGAATAAAGTGAGCAGTTAGAGTGGGAGGCTAAAAGGGATAGTGTTCAGTGTTTTGCCTCGTATAGATGAATAAAAGTAGGTATCCTTATTTATTTACAAAGTTCTATCAGATTTTTATTTTTTATTTATTTTTTGGATAGAGTCCCATGTATCCTAGGCTGGCACCAGAACTCCTTATGTAGCAGAAGACAATGAACTTTAGATCCTCCTGCTTCTACCTCTCTAGTGCTAAGATTATAGACAGGGACCAGCATGCCCTGTTTATGCAGTGCTGGGATTAAATCCAGGGCCTTGTGCATTCTGAGAAAGCATTCTATAAACTGAGAGTATTGTAGATTACAGCGCTCAGATTGAATATTCTTGAGAGAGAGAGTGTGTGTGTGTGTGTGTGTGTGTGTGTGTGTATGTTTATTTACATGTTAATGTGATAGTGTGCACTTTTGTGTATGTGAATGTGGAGGCCAGAATTTGAGGTTAAGTATCTTCCTAAATTGCTATTCATCTCATTTTTTGAGACAAGGACTCTGATTGATTGGCAAGGCTAGATGGCCTGTGAGCTCCAGCTATATGTCTGTCTCCACCAGCACTTAATAGAGTTAAAATACAGTCTCTGTATGGGTATCTGGCACCTAAACTCAGGTCCTCATGACTGCAGGGCTGGCATTTTACTAGCTGAACCATCTCCTAACCCCTTGAATATTCTTAATTATGCTTATTCATAAAGTTCTTAATAAAAATTGGTTTACATATAGTTCTTAATGATTCTACACTCTAATAGTGAAGGAGCTCGAAAGGTTACAGCACCACACTGAAGCTGAACTAACAGAAACCATGCAGAAACGGGAAACACTTGAAACTGAACTACAAAATGCTCATGGAGAATTGAAAAGTACCTTAAGACAACTACAGGAATTGAGAGATGTACTACAAAAGGCTCAGTTATCATTAGAGGAAAAATACACTACAATAAAAGATCTCACTGCTGAACTTAGGTGAGTTAAATAATAAGAAATGATACCATAATTATAGGTATCTCTTTGATCATTTTGAGTCATTGGACCATATCACAAAAATTGTTGAACTCTAAACAACCCAACTTTTCAACTGCTTTTGTTTCATTCTGTTTTGGATTTTTGTTTTGTGTTGTTTGACCATCACATGATCCATCTAACCAAGTGAGAGAAGTTGCTTTTAGCTGCTAATACTTCTGCCCTCATTCTGTGATCAGTTTTACACTGTCCAAATAGCTTTTTAAGAAAAAGGGAAAAAGAAAAAAAAGGGGGGGGGGGAGTAGGCAAGCATACAGCAGTGAGTAAGAGCAAAATATTGTCAATAGTTACTCTTTGTACACCCTTTTTCTTTCTTCTTCTTTTAGGAGACAGGATCTCACTTTGTAGACCAGACTGGCCTTAATCTCATAGATCCACTACCTCTGCTTACCAAGTGCTGTGATTAAAAGTGTGTCTCACCATTCCCAGCCCAAAATACTATACATGTTAAGCCATTATTTTAAGCTAGAGTTATGCCAGGGATGTAATTTATGGTCTCATTTCCTTAAAATAAACTTACATGTATTTTTTTTTATAGTTAAGACCAAGTCTTAAATGAAATAAAATGCCCAAAAAACTCATTTTTACAAAGTAACGTTCAAGCTGGGCAGTGGTGGCCCATACCTTTAATCCCAGCTCTCAGGAGGTGGAGGCAGGTGGATCTCTGTGATTTTGAGGCCTTCCTGGTCTACAGAGTGAGTTCTAGGACAGCCAGAGCTACATAGAGAAGCCCTGTCTGGAAAAACAAAAAAACAAAACAAAACAAACAAACAAACAACACAAATAATGTTTCAAAGAAGGAAGTTAAACATATGTCTGCCCAGCATTGCAGTCCAAATTCTTAAGACTCGCAGTGACGGCATGACATGCTATGTCAGCTCATGTCTGTAGTGAACAGAACTAGAACAGGAACATAGAGTTACAAGCAGATGTGAAATATAGGATACCAAACAGGAACCCAGAAAATCAGGAATGATACCCCAGAATTCAGTATAGGCTCCCATGTTCTATCTATAAATTTATTCTTAGTAGAGTTCATGTACTTTTAAATTCTATCAAAAATAATTTCCAAATCAATTTTTCCAGTTTTCATTTCCTCCTTAACTCTATATTAATACCCAACTGTTTATCCTTTATCTTCATGTGGATTTAAAAACAGTTATTACAGTTTTTTGTTTGTTTTTTGAGACAAGATTTCTCTGTGTAGCTCTGGCTGTCCTAGAACTCGCTCTGTAGACCAATCTGGCCTCTAACTCAAAGAGATCATAGAGATCTGCCTCCCAAATGCTGTGATTAAAGGTATGCACCACCACCACCACCACTGGCTACATTTTTATTTTTATTTTTTTATTGAAAATATTTTTTTCTTTGTACAATATATTTGATCATGGTTTCTTTTCCCCTTCTCCAAACTTCTCCCAGATCCTTTTCACCTACCCACTTCTATCTGTTCAACTCCATGCCCTTTCTTTCTTTCTCTCTTTAGAAAACAAACAAGTAAAAGAACAACAAACCAACCAATGAACAAACAAGCAAAACCCACAAGAAACAAACTAATGAAACAAGCAAAACCCATAAGACATTCACATAAACAAAACCCCCAAATCAGAAACCCTAATATGCAAGCAAAAAACCAGTAAGTCAAAAGCTAACCAAATAAATCATTATGAGACAAAAAGTTTACAAAAATATCATCAAATTCATTTTCCATTGGCCATCTGCTGCTGGGCATGGGGCCTTACCCTTAAGGGTGGTTAACATACTGAGTAAGAATCCATTGGAGAAAATTAACATTTCCTATGTTAGCGGGTATCAATTGCAGATTGCTTCTTGATTAGGGGTGGGAGTTCATGTTCACCTCCTCTTCTCTGCACTGAGACCTGTATGTCTTAAACCTGTACAGACCCTGTGTGTGCTGCCATAAGCTCTGTTGGTTCATATGTGCATCAGTCCTGTTGTGTCTGGAGTCATCCACCTCCTCTGGATGTTACAAACCTTCCCCCTCTTTTGCACAGCTATCTGAGCTCTGAGGGAGGGGGTTTGATAAAGACATTCATTTAGGACTCAGAGTTATAAAGTCCCTCAGTCTCTGCCCATTGTCCAGTTGTGGGTCTCTGTGTTAGTTTCTATCTACTGCAAGAAGAAGCTTCTCTGATAATGGATGAATAAGGCACGAATCTATGGGTATAGCAGAATGTCTTTGGGAGTCATTTTATTCATCTTCCTTTAGCAGAACCAATAATATTTGGTTTTCCCCTAGGTCCATGGCCCATCTAGCCCCACTCAGGTTCTTGGCCTCCCAAGCAGTGTCAGGCATGGGTTCCATCTTGTGGAGTGGGCCTTAAATCCAATCAGAGAAGGGTTGGTTACTCTCACATTTGTACCATGATTGCACTAGCATATGTTGCCAACAGCTCACCATTTTAGATTGCAGGGTTAATAACTAGGTTGATGTTACTTTTCTTCCATAGTAGCAGCAGAGTGACTTCCAGTTGTATGAGACCATTCAGTAGGGGTGAAGGCTCTAGTTAGGCACCAACTCGACTTTTCCGTGTTCAATGAGATATGTGGGTGTTATCTTCAGTAATAGGGCCTTACCATCAGTTTGTGTAGAGCAACTAATAGCCTTGGCAATAGCCTGAGATGTTTGGGGGTTTCCATGGGACCCCTTTGGTGAATGACCCAACTAGCTTTAACCTATTTCTGACACTGAGGGTTTCACTTGGTGGCAAAAGATGTCTAGTTGAGGCATTGTCTCCCTGTTATTTGGAGACTCCATTTTTATTTCTTTCATATCTGTATATATTTTAGGAAGATTCTTAAAACTAAGTAGGTTTTTATTTGGCCCCTCAAATGGCCTTTAGTGTTAGTTATCTCTCCCAGTTTTCCCTCCCTTATGCCTCTTCCAACCCTTCCCCCTTTAATCCTTCCAGTCTCCTCCTCCCCTCTATAACTATATATTCTATTTTCTCCTACCTGCAAGTAAGTCCCTTACAAGATACCTAACCTCTGTTGTTACATGGATTGTAGCATGCCTTTTGAAGGCTTAAAACTTAATGTCCACATATAAGAGAAAACATATATTTTTCTTTTAGAGTCTGTGTTTCCTCACTCCGGATAATTTTTTTTCTAGCTCCATCTATTAACTACAAAGTTCATAATATTGATTTTTTTTAAACAGCTGAATAATATCCCATTGTGTAAATGTATCCCATTTTCTTTTTTTTTTTTTTTTTTTTTTTTTTAGGTTTTTCGAGACAGGGTTTCTCTGTGTAGTTTTGCGCCTTTCCTGGAACTCACTTTGTAGCCCAGGCTGGCCTTGAACTCACAGAGATCCGCCTGCCTCTGCCTCCTGAGTGCTGGGATTAAAGGCGTGCGCCACCACCGCCCGGCTGTTTTCATTATCCATTCATCAAGGCTGTTTCGATGAACATGTATTTCAGTAATATGATGTAGAGTCCTTTGGATATGTGCCCAAGAGAGGTATAGCTGGATCTTGGGCATAGATCTGTTCCCAGTTTCCTGAGGAACCGCCACACTGATTTGCTTAGTAGCTGTACAAGTTTGCACCCCAACCAATGAATAAGTGTTCCCCTTTCTGCTCATGCTCACCAGTATGAGATGTCATTTGCTTTATTGAATCTGGCCATTCTCCCTGGTAGGAGATAAAATCTCAAAAGTACTTTTAATTTACGTTTCCCAGATGACTGAGGATATTGAACATTTCTTTAAGGGTTTCTCAGCCATTTGTGTTTCATCTTTTGAGAACTCTCTGCCTAGTTCCATACTCTATTTTTCAATTGGGTTATTTGTTTTCTTGATGTCCAGTTGTTTTTTAGTTCTTTGTATATTTTTAGATATTATTCCTTTATTGGGAGTGGAGTAGGTAAAGATCTTTTTGAATTCTGCAGCTTGCTGCTTTGCTCCAGTGATATATCCTTTGTCATGCAGAAGTTCACACTTTCATGAGGTTCTATTAGTTAATTGTTGTTCTTAGTGACTGTGCTGTGTCCTGTTCAGAAAGTCTTCTCCTGTGCCAGTGAGTTCAAGCCTACTCCCCACTTTCTCTTCTGTCAGATTCAGAGTATTTGGTCTTTCGTTGAGGTTTTTGATTCATTTGGTGTTGAGTTTTGTATGTTGTAATAAATATGGATCTATTTGTATTCTTCTATGTACAGCCATCAAGACTACCAGCACCCTTTGTTGAAGATGCTGCCTTTTTTCTAGTGTGTATTTCTGGCTTCTTTATCAAAAATCAGGTGTCCATAGGTGTGTAGATTTATGTCTGGATGGCTGGGAGGGCCAAGCAGGCTGCTACAGGGCTGAGGGTGAGAATGGAGAGATTGTAATGGAGGACTGGAAGGATAATAAGTGTTGCCCAAGTCCCTACCAAAAATGGCCACCATTGGTTGCTTGCAGAGAGTGTTTCTGGGTATCAGCATCTGACACAAAGAATGGAGGTGGGCTAGAAGGAAAGGTTGGGATGGTCCACAGGGGAAAAACTAAACTCAATCTTATTTAATTTTCATTCATTTATTTTGTGTGCACATAGGTGGATGTGTGACATGTATCATGATGCCCATGTAGAGGTTAAAGGGCAAATTGTGACAATCAGTTCTTTTCTTCCACCATGTTGGTCTCAGGGATTAAACTCAAGTTGTCAGGCTTGGCAGTAAGCATGTTTACCTGTTGAACCGTTTGCCAGCCCTCCATAATGGATATTTTAAAAGGCATCTCAAACTCAGCCAAACACATTCATATATTTTCTTATAACTCTGCCCCTCCCGTCTTTCTAATATTATTGCTCAAACCAGAAGTCTGTAGAATTATTCTCCTCTCTTTTATCCAGTTTATTAGCAGGTCTTGTCAACCTTATTTCTAATACATATTTTAAAATCCATTGACTTCCTGTTACCACTGTGTACAGTCAGTCCATCATTGTTTCTTTTATGGTACGTGGCTGGGTCTTCGTAATGGGCTCCTTATGTTCTTGATTTCATTGCTAATCCATTTTCCACAGCATTCTGATTTCAAACATAAATAATATCATATTGATTTCTATTTAGACTTCTAATAGCTTCCTAAAACATTCTCAGTAAAATCTTAATTCCTTTGGAAATGAAAAAATTATGTATAGAGATACAACTTCATTACTTAGTATATCAGTCCTTGAAAAAAAACAAAACAAAACAACAACAAAAAAGAAAGAAAGAAAGAAAGAAAGAAAGAAAGAAAGAAAGAAAGAAAGAAAGAAAGAAAAAACCCAGATAATACCAAGTGTTGGAAGTATGTAGAAAAATGAAATTCTCATTCATTGCTGGTAGGAAACAAAAGTGTTGATAGCCAGTATGGGAAAACAATTGCAGTTTTTCAGTAAGTTAAACATGAAATTATAATAATTTTAATTTTAATAATTTACAACATAAAATATAGTAATTTCCTAGTTATATAACTAAAAACATTGAAAATGGTCATTTAAACAAAAATTATATACAAATGTTTATAGCAAAGCTCCTCTGTTCACAATAGTCAAAAAAGTGGCAAGAAACCAATTGGCCATCAATAATTAATGGATAAAGAAAATATGGTATATTCATAAAAGGAGTATTATTTAATCAGAAAAAAATAATAAAATAGTGATAATCCATGCTACAAAGTTGATGCACCCTAAGAATGTTACGCTAAGTCAGAGAAGTTAGACACATGTAGCATAATTCTATTTATATGAAATTCCTAGAATTGATTAGTCCATAGAGATAGTAAAGATTGGTGGTTGCCAGCAGCTAGAGGAAGGGATAACAGGAAAAAAATGATCCCTGAAGGATATGGGATTTCCTTTTGTTGTAATTAAAAAAAAATTACTGCGAACAGATAATGGTGATGGCTACATAACACCGTGAATGTAGTGAATTCAGCTGAATTATGCACTTTAAAATGACTAATAGGATATTTTATGCATGTTTTACCACAGACCATGGTTTTGAAAAACTCCAAGCCTCTAGACTGCAAAGCCCCTTATGATCAGGTTCTTATTTTCCTGGCCTCATTTCATACTGCTTTTTGCTCTCTTTTGTTTTGGTATGCATATGTGGTGAGTCTGTATGCATATTCTTATATGTGGGAACACGAGTGTGTGTGTGGATGTAGGAAGAGGTCAGAGTGATGTTGTGTATCTTCCTCAGTCCCTCTGTGCCTTATGTATTAGGATAAGACCTCACCATAATTACTTAGTGAAGTAGCCAAATTGTTCCAGGGAACCCATTTCTGTGTGAGTTAACTTTTGTTTTCAGTCATTTTTTTTTTATACATTATTCCTTTGATTTAGGTCATTTCGATCTGAATTAACTACAAACATTCTGTTGCTTTTAACTTATGGGAAACAATAACTCAATTTAGCTAACTTTAAAAATTATAGTATTCGTATTATCTGCTTTGATCTTTTTCTTTTGACAAATTTTAGAGACTGTAAGATGGAGGTTGAAGACAAAAAGCAAGAACTCGTTGAAATGGATCAGGCGCTTAAGGAGAGAAATTGGGAGCTAAAGCAAAGAGCAGCTCAGGTTGTTTTATCCTAATTATATTTGAATAAAAACTTCTACCATGGGACAGTTATGTAGGGTTTTATAAGTCACTATTTTTTTCTTGTTTATAATTTTTGTTTGTTTCTTTTGTTTTATTTTGTTTTTCAAGACAAGGTTTCTCTGTGTAGCTTTGGAGCCTGTCTTGGAACTTGCTCTGTAGACCAGGCTGGCCTCAAACTCACAGAGATCCTCCCACCTCTGCTTCCCGAGTGCTGGGATTAAAGGTTTGTGCCACCATCACTTGGCTTATAAATATTTTTCAAAGTTAGAAATAAATCTCCTTTTTTTTTTTTTTTAAGACAAACTTGCTGTTTGACCAGGTTGGCCATGAGTTTATAATCCTCTTCCCTCAGGCTCCCAAATGCTGGCAATATATGACTGGCTGGAAGACTTGTTTGTCTTCCTGGGAACTGAATAGGGAGATAAGTTCTTTACCGCTAAACTAAAGCTCAGTCTGACCAGTAAGTTTTGAGCATAAGGATTCCCTTACTACCCTTTAGGTTTTTATTGTGTATTAAAGAATATGTGGTTGAACATGTTACCGTGAGCTAAATGTTGGGGGAACAAGACATTAGTTAGCAGTTTTTATTCCGATATAAATTGGAAGCCGGGGCTGGGGATTTAGCTCAGTGGTAGAGCATTTGCCTAGCAAGCGCAGTGCCCTGGGTTCAGTCCTCAGCTCTGAAAAAAGAAAGAAAAAAAAAATATATATATATATATATATATAAATTGGAAGCTTGCATCATTTCCTCTTATTTTATATTTTAAGTTTCTATAACATATAATACTATAGGCTTCAAGTCCCTACTTGAAAAAATACTTCATTTGGGATAAGCTTATCAGTCATTGATAAAAGAACCTGTTGTAAAAGTACATTCCAACCACATAAGTTTTTGCATTATAATAAAATTGAGCAACCAGCTTAATATTACTTGTATTTAGGTTACACATTTGGATATGACCATTCGTGAGCACAGAGGAGAAATGGAGCAAAAAATAATTAAATTAGAGGGTACTCTTGAGAAATCAGAATTAGAACTTAAAGAATGCAACAAACAGGTAATTATCTTAAAATTTCATATTTTACATTGTTTAAAGATTGACACCATGAGTGTGTACCGAATTCACACAGTGTTTTTGGTGTTGTTTGTGATGATGCATGTTGTTGTGCTGCCCAAATTGGCCTGGAATTCCTGTGCCCTGGGATCACACACACACGGCTGTTTTTATAGAATATAAATGTATCTATCTACTTATCATAATATATACATGTTTGAATAGATATAAAACATTTCTGGTAGGAATTACAAGTAATTCTAGAACCTAACTGAAAAAATCATGTGGGAAGGAAACTTTGTGTTCTCTATATTTTTTATATTACATATATATTACCTTTAAAATTATAAAGCCATGTTACATTTGTTTAGTGTACTTGTATAAATAGTGATTGAAACATTTGCCTGTGGGAGGAGACGTCAGACTCATTAGGACAAGCTCATTATTCTCATAAGCCTTAAATGAAGTTGGAGTATTTGGTTCCTCATGTATGACAAGTCATCATTGGAAAAGAAACTAAGGGCTATAGCTAGATGCCATCTTCAGAGGAGGACTATTATTTGAAACTGAGCTGCTCTGGGCACCTGAAAACAATGAATAATGGCTAGCCAGGGAACCTTATGGCCACAGTCTTTGGGTGGGAAACTGTTGTATTTAGGCAAGATGAACAGGATAAGTCATGGACATGCTGAGAACTCAGTTATGTGGTGGGAGGCTTAGATTATGAGTATAGTACTTGTGTCCTGCTCTCTGGTGAGGAGCAGACCCCAACATCTTGGGTAACTGAAGACTGATAACCCCAGGCCTGTAGTCATCCAGGGATTGTCTTTCTTCCATGTAGTTTTCCACTGGTAGGACTTTAAACTGAAATTCAGGTCCAGTGGAAGCACTCAGTTTCCAGAGGATCCTTCCTCCTGTGGGGTATTTAATATTGAACAGGGTTTGAAACTTGGACTAGCCAAATGCTCTCGGGAGAATTAATAGCAACTCCAGGGACTACAAACAGGGAAGTCTTTGGAGTTTGTGAACCTGCTTGGTTTACAAGCTACAAAACTAAGTGCAGCCAGAAGTGGCTTTTGGTGTAAACACACACACACACACACACACACACACACACACACACACACACAGAAATCCTAGAAATCCTAGAGTAAATGCAGCCTTGTACAACTGACTCTTCACTGGTCCCAAGCATCTGCTTAAATAGTACAAAGCATAAGAGATTCAAACTTCAACTGCATACTTATTCTCGCCTATTAGACTTCAATACGAGAGGACCCAGAAAGAAACCACTCCAATACTTTGTCATTTTAGTAAATGCCTTTCTATACCCCCTTTTTGCATCTCTTTTCCCTTCTTTTTATAATACTTTTAACATTATGTTTATTTAGTTGTAAAAAACAGCGAATACAGTTTTTCCATCCTCTAATTTTGTTTACACATTTTTGCTGCAGGATCAGAATTTTTATCTCTTGCTCTTCTCATTCTATGTTTCTAATATTTTCCTTTTTTTTCCTTTAAGATAGCTTCTTTATTTTTCCCCTTTTGCTGTCTCCTTCCTTTATTTTATTTGTTATTCCTATATTTACTCAAATTTTTCTTTTCTTTTTAATTGGTTTTTCAAGATAAAGTTTCTCTGTATAATAATCCTGGCTGTCCTGTATGGACCAGGCTGGCCTCAAACTCACAGAGATCTGCCTGCCTTTGTCTCCCAAGTGCTGGGATTAAAGGTGTGTGTCACCACCCAGCCTTTACTCAAATTTTTAACTTTATAGCTTACTCTATATGATTTTTTTGTGGGATTTTTTTTGTTTGTTTGTTTGTTCCATGGTCATCAGTAGGAAAATGGATGGAAATGGAAATTGTTACATAAAGGGAAATACACCATAAAATAAAAGCAAGTATTGTTTGTTTACTCTTATGAATAGAATCATTTCAAAGGGGAATTACAGGGCTGGAGAAATGTCTCAGTGGATAATTGCACTTGCTGCTCTTGCAGAAGACCCAGGTTTGGTTCTTAACACCCACATGGTAGTTCACAACCATTCTTAGTAACATTTTCAGAGGCTCTGATTCCCTCTTCTGACCTCCGTTGATACCTGACATGTTTGTGGTGCACATATATACAGGTAGCCAGACACTCATAAAGTAAATCTAACGTTAAATTTTACAAGAGGAAGTAGCCAAACTAGATGACCAGGGGTGTTAAGAGAAGGTAATTCAGGGTGAATATGAATTAGCAAAGTACAAGAATGTCTCTCTTGAAATGACATATGGACCCATTTTTTTGTATGTTATCTAAAGGGAAAATTATGATTTAGGTTTTCATCTTTTAGTGGATTTTAAGTGTTCATAGAATATATAATTATCTTATTATGTAGAATTCTTATACTTACAAATTATGTTCGTCTTAAGAAAAGTAGATTTTTTTTTGTTTGTTTGGTTTTTTGTTTTTTGAGACAGGGATTCTCTGTGCAGCCCTAGCTGTCTTGGAACTCACTTTGTAGACCAGGTTGTCCTCAATCTCATGTAGATCTGCCTGCTTCTGCTTTCTGAGTGTTGGTACTAAAGGCATGCATCACCATACCCTGCTAGAAAAAGTATATTTTAGAGATTTAGTTTTATTTTATGTGCGTGGGTGTTTTGCCTGCATGTATGTTTATGAATCATGTGCATACAGTACCCTCAGGCCAGAAGAGGGCACTAGATTCCTTAGAACTAGAATTACATATGGTTGTGCAATGCCACGTGGGTGCTGGGAACTGAACCCAGGTCCTCTGCAAAAGCAGTAAGTGCCTCGAACTCACAGAGATCCGCCTGCCGTGAGTTCAAGGAAAGGCGCAAAGCTACACAGAGAAACCCTGTCTCGGAAAACCAAAAAAAAAAAAAAAAAAAAAAAGCAGTAAGTGCACTTAACCACTGTGCCATCTCTTTAGTCCCAGAAAAATAATTTTTAAAATTTGATTTTAGTTATTTTTGTTGTTCTTATTTTTGTGACAGGGTCTTACTGTGTAGTCTAGTCTGGCTTTGAACTCATTATCCTTCTGCCTCAACCTCCAAAATGCTGCATTGCTAGTTTGGACCTCCATGTTCTGCCTGCTTTTAGATATTTTATACATAAGTGGTTGATGTTTGACATAGAACACAGCTATGAGTAAATTATATTTTCTTATTTGTATTAATAATGGTCATCTGTTTGAAATTCAGGTAGAAAGTTTAAATGAAAAGTTGCAAAATGCCAAAGAACAGCTTCGTGAAAAGGAGTTTATAATGCTCCAGAATGAACAGGAGATAAGTCAACTGAAAAAGGAGACTGAAAGAACACAACAGAGGATGAAAGAAATGGAAAGTGTAAGCAAGTTATTTTATACATAAGGGAAAAGTAATGAAATGATATGCTTGTTTAAGGTGTTTACCCTGGTGTAGCCGTATGTTTCTTGGGTCCCTTGCCACCCTTGCCCCCTGCCCCCAAGTAAACACACGGAGAGGCTTATATTATATACAAATTGTATGGCCTATGACAGGCTTCTTGCTAGCTAGCTCTTAAAACTTAACTTATTTCTATTGATCTATAAGCTGCCACGTGGCCATGGCTTACTGGTACTTTCACATCTTGCTTCTCCTGGCGGTGCTGGTGTTTCTTCACACTCCTCCTTTCTCTTTCTTGTCTCTCTCCTTTCCTGCCTGCATCCAATCTGCCTCGCCATAGGCCAGAGCAGCTTATTTATTAACTAATGGGAACAACATATATTCACAGCATACAGAATGACATCTCCCAGCACCCTGGTTCTATTTATTTTAACACCTTGGTTTTAAAATACAGAAACTATGCTCTAAGTTTTTAAAAAATAATTATTTGTGCCAGATACTGTTAGTTCTTTTGACCTTTAAAAATATTTTATTATGCTGGTTTTGGTGTAGACAAGGACACTGTCTTATATGCTTTGTGTTCCCTAACTTTGCCATGTTATATTTTACATAGTAAATCCATAGTATATGCTTTTTATCAATAAATATTTAATATGTAAATATACTGTGCATTAGGATTGAAGATATAGATACTAATAAGTTACAGGGACTTGAGGAATTTCACCCAGAAACTGACAAATGAAAACTGAGTATTATTTCATCCAAGAGCACTTTGTTACCAGAGGATCATAGTTAACTTGATGACTTGTTATCAGTTTAATGTGTATTGTGGTTGAATCTATTCAACATCCTTGTCTTTTTAAAAAGTGAATTTGTTTCTGTGAGCTGTAATGGACATAACTTTCTCATTGTCAAAAACTTTGGAATTTCAGCAATAACTATTGTGTTTGGTTGCTTATGTCTCTCCATATAGAACATAAACTGTGTTAGAGAAGGCACTTTGTCTCCTTTTCCATTCCTGTTTTCTGACCATCCCTAGCTGTATATTATCATGTACTAAGCATGAGTTATTATTTATTGAGTTAATTATAAACATAAGTGAAGCAGAGTCTCTAAGAGCAAGTTTGGACAGCAGTGTGGTAGAAATGATTAATGGCCCTGTCATTGTTGGTTTCCTAACAGTGAATGACTAAAATTATTTGCATAGCTAATTATATTCATTTATATCCTGGGCCTAAATGCCAGATACTAGGGCCCTAGTAATTAGTACTGGCTTTTTTCCATTTTCTTCCTTGAAGTCAAGTGTCATTACCTCTGTCAAACCTGCCTCATTGTGCTGAATTAGAACTGACTTTGCTTCCCTGATCCAAAAGATTTTTAGTTAGAATTGTTTTGTAGTTTGAGTTTCTTTGGATTTTGGAGTATTTACATCTTCAAAATTGCTCAAATCTGAATGCATACATGTTTCATATTTACTATATATATCTTATATGAAAATAATTTATAGATTATTTTAATAAGTTTATTTATCAAAAAGTTTCATAGTGTAGAATTTTCTATCTCAGTCAAATAAATACAAATTTTTTTGGGGGGGGGTCGTGGGGAGTATTTTTGATTTTGGGTTTCCAGATAAGAAATACTTAACCTGTTGTTTACTAGGAATTTAAATGTTTAACAACATTTCAGAAGGAATAATAGCTGCAGTGACAATGTTCACCTTCATAGAGAATCTACAACCAGCTGTGTAGATTGTGAATTTCAATTCTATATTCCATGCCAATATCTATCTATCTATCTATCTATCTGTCTGTCTGTCTATCTATCTATCTGTCTGTCTATCTATATCTATCATCATCTATCTATCATCTATCTCTCTATCTCTTTATCTGTCTATCTATCATCTATCTATCTATCTATCTATCTATCTATCTTTCATCTATCTATCTATTATAGGAGTATGCACTCATGTTTGTGTAGGCTTGAAGACAATCTTGGGTATTATTCCTTAAGAGGTCATTTTTCAGGAGCCATCTACTTGTTTTTGTTTTGTTTTTTTGAGACGGGGTCTTATGTAGCTCAGACTAGTTTTAAACTCCCTGTGTAGTAGAAGATGACTTTAAAGTCTCTTCTGATCTCCTTCTTTTTCCCACAAGTCCTGGGATTGCATTGTGTGCTACCATACTTGGTTTTATATGGTGCTGAGGTGAGAACCCAGAGTTTTGGGAATGTTAGTCAAGCTCTACTAAATGAGCTACAAACTCCCCTCCTCTCACCTCGTTTTGTGAGACGGACTCACTGTATAGCCCAGTTAGTTTAAATGATCAAATGTTACGGTTTTTTGTTTGTTTGTTTCTGGTCTTAGTATTTGATACTGTTTTGTAAATGGTACATGCGTTATGATAAAAGGTTATATAACTTGTGTGCGTTAAAGTCATGCAGAATATTTCAGTTAGAGTGGTGGTATATATCTCTAATCTCAGCACTCTGGAAGAAGTATCTCAAGTTGAAGGTTAGCTGAGACTACTCAGTGTCTTTCTAGGCAAACCTGGGCAAGGTAGCAAGACCCCCAACCTAGATAGATAAGTAAATAAAGTTCTTGCTGTCAAAGTACATGCCTGTTATTCTAGCCACCCAGAATGGTGAGACAGAAGACCAGAAGTCTGAGACCAGTCTGAGAAACCTTCTTTCAAAATGCAGTTTTTAAATGTGGCTGGAGGCCAGGCGTGGTGGCGCACGCCTTTAATCCTAGAACTCTGGAGGCAGAGGCTGGTGGATCTCTGAGTTTGAGGCCAGCCCTGGTCTACAGAGCGAGTTCCAGGACAGCCAGGGCTGTTACTTAAAGAAACTGTCTCAAAAAACACAAACAAACAAATAAAATTAAAAGTAAAAAGGGGCTGAGGATGTGTGGGTGGCAGAGCACTTGGTCAGCATGTTGAGGCTCTGGGTTTAATCCCTAGGGTGAAAAACGTTCCCAGTTTATTATAGTTTTGTCATTTTATTATCAGTAAGGCTTTAAAAAAATATTGTAGTGGGAGATGCTGGTTTTATTGTATATTTTATAAAGATATAATTGTAGGGAAATTCTCTTATGAAAACAAGGAAGCTAATTGTATGTATATACTTTATAAATATATATTTCATTTTGAAACACACAAATATCTTATGCTTTTCAGGTTATAAAAGAGCAAGAAGAGTACATTGCTACCCAATACAAGGAGGTCATTGATTTGGGGCAAGAATTAAGGCTAACCCAGGAGCAAATGCAGAGCTCTCGTTCTGAACTGGTGGAGGCTCGTCGCCAAGAAGTCCAAGCACAGAGAGAAATAGAAAGACTCTCTAGTGAATTGGAGGATATAAAGCAACTCTCTAAAGAAAAGGTAATCCTATTCTAAATAATTTTCTATTACTGAGGAATTTTTAATTTTATGTTATGTACATATTACTACAGTTTTTTAAAGAAAAAGTTTAACTTATTATACTTAGCTTTTAAATTCTTTGTAATATAATATTTTATAATAAAAGCCCTTCATAAATGAATTCTGGCTACACTAGTTCTCAGTAAGTTGAGGTATTTAGCGCTTTTAGATTTTTAAGTGTTTGAGTCATCTTCTAAGTAAAAACTGTCAAAATTTTTAAGTGTTGCAAAAACCTCAGTTCAGATGCTCTGTGATGGTAAAGTATATTAAAAATCAAGAGTACTAACAAATTTTATTTCTTTAAAAGTTAGCAACTCATTTAAAGAGTATTTAGATTGATAAACTTGGTTTAATAATTAGACCTTGAGTAAAATGTTTATTTTTATTCTGGAAATTCTTGTAAGTTTTCTGCTTTCTCTTAATGTTTAGTAATTCATCATAGGAATATATTTAAAACATTTTTACCTTTAGTTTTTGTTAGGCTTAGTTATATTTTTATTCACATGTCTGGATTATTAGAGCAACTAAGAATATATAGGAAAATTTATTAGTGATATAACAAGTATCTGAGTGTTTAAATAAAAATGGGAAGGTGTCTACTGTAGCATGAATCTTAAAGGTACTTATTAATAAAATCAAACCTGAGGCCAGTTATTGGGGTGAATGCTGGAAGATCAGAGAAGCAGAACAAGCCACAGCTACCTCACCTCTCCAGTTCCTCAGCTGATCCTGTTTCCTCAGACTGGAAGCCTCTGTGCCCTCATCCAGAATGGGTCTCAGCTGAACTGCTGCTCCAAATCCTAAAAGCTTAACCAGCCAAAATGCTTCTAGTTTCTGGTCCTCATGCCTTATATACCCACCTGCTTTCTACCATCACTCCCTGGAATTAAAGGCTCGCTTTCTGGGATTAAAGGCGTGAGTCACCATGCTTGGCTATATCCTTGAACATATAGATTTCTGACTCTGGAATGCTAGGATTAAAGGTGTGTGCTACCACTGCCTATCCTCTATGTTTAATATTGTGGCTGTTCTGTCTCTGACCCCAGATAAGTTTATCAGGGTGCACAATATTTCGGGGAACACAATACCACCACATTTCCCCCTTTTTTGTCTAAAATTAAAAAACGATTATAACTAATACAAGAAAAACTATCCAATAAGTATATACAATATATACAGTCAAGAGTTACATTAACAATGTCTAGTCCACTAACATTTGACAGATTCCAATAAAAACTTCATTATATATTTTGACAATGTCCAGTCCAATAATATTTGATAAACTCAGACAAAAATTTTCATTACGTATCCTATGTAAAACAAGTAGTTCCTTTTTAAAAGTATTTTTTCTTTTCATAATAGATTCAGTAATCTACCTTTTGTCATTTTTATATCTTCCCCCTTTTTCTTTTTAGAGTAGATTCAATTATCTACCCATTTATCTTATTATTTCTTTATCTTTTTTCTCAGAGTAGATTTGATGATCTACCTCATATCTATATTCTCTTTTTTCTTTTTCTTTCTTTTTTTTTTAAACAAAAGCTCTGAATCTAATCTCCATGTTCAGCTTTTCAGTACAAATAAAATATCACCATAGTCTACTTTTATCTCATTTCTATTCTTTGTTGGTAATTTCTGAGTTTTGTATAATTTATTTTATTTGATAAGCTAAACTCACTTCTCAAAATAAGTTTAAATGAGAGATTACTTAAATTGAAAGTTTTGTAATATTATAATTTAATCCTAAACTAAATATAAATTCATATTTATCTTTTGGTTTTGGTCAAACATTGATTCTTTTTATGAATAATCTGATTTGAATTTTATTTAGTCTGTTTACATAAGCCATAATCATATTCCATTCTCTGTAGTTATTTTAGTTTCTTTCTAGTAGAGGGAGACTTAAAATTATAGAATATCTGGTTTTGTTCTTGTTGTTGGGGGAATGTGTGTGTTGCTTCCAAATAGTTTGTAACAGTTTTGACTGGTTCTAAATGGGTAGCAGATGTTTGTAACTCTTGTTGAGTTGTTTCAAACTTTTAACTTAGTTCTTACTTTAAAATATTTCCATACATATTTCATCAGTGTTTCCCCTTATCCATGATGGATGCACATTTCAAAGACCCTTAGTAGATGTATGAAACTACAGATGTTACTGAACCCTAGATACACATACTGTACTCTTTGAGATAGGCACTTCTGGGCCAGTACTAAATCAAATGAGGGTTCCTGGAACACAGGTATTATGATAACCAATAAACAAGCAGGTGGAAAACAGTGTAGCTATGCTGGACAAACAGATGATTCATGGTCATCAGGCTGTTTAGAACAGTTCACAATTTTCAACCTATAAATTGTTTATTTCTGTAATTTCATATTTATTATCTTTGGACTGTTGTTGACTTCAGGTTGCTAAAACTGCAGCGAGTAAAACAACAAAAAACAAAACCTCTTTCACTCAAGGGGGGACTACTACATGTAATAAAATTTTGTTACTAAAATCACAAACACAACTTGCACTAATTATCACAAGTAGGTTTGGATAAAAATGCATATCAGGACTGGAGAGATGGCTCAGCAGTTCAGAGCACTGGCTGCCTGGTTGCTCTTCAAAGGACCCAGCTTCAATTCCCAGCATCTCCATGGTGGCTAACAACTATCTGTAGCTCCAGTCCCAGGGGTTAGCTCTTCTTCTGGCCTCCACGGGTACGAGGCACACAAGTTGTGCACATACAGGCCAAAACACGCCTAGAGATTTAAAAAAGAGTACAGACTATTCTTAGAAAAAGCAAATAATCCATATGGTGAAAAAAATGCACAAGAACACCTGAGAGCAGGCTGTTATCTGCCAAATGGAGATAATTATTTGCTGAAGTTAGCATTTTATGGGTCTTTGTTTCACAGAAAGTATTGGCTAGTGAACTCATGTAGCAAATAATATACTAATGCCTTCTTATGGTCTTCTCTAAAATGTCTATATTTTAAGTGTATCATATAAGTTAGCTCGGTGGGCTGGAGAGATGACTGCTCTTCCAGAGGTCTTGCGTTCAATTCCCAGCAACCACATGGTGGCTTACAGCCATCTGTAATGAGATCTGATGCCCTCTTCTGGCATAAAGTCCATAGAGCACTCATACATAAAATAAATAAATAAATCTTTTTCTTAAAAAAGCTAGTTTGGCACGTGTATTTACTTACATAAAGACTAGCTTGTTTCCACTAAGGCACTGAATTCATTTAGTTATAATAAACCAAATCAACTACCTATATAACTTTGATTCAACATGTCATTTTTAAGGAAGCTCATGGAAATCGTTTGGCTGAAGAACTAGGGGCTTCTCAAGTACGTGAAGCTCATTTAGAAGCAAGAATGCAAGCGGAGATAAAGAAATTATCCTCAGAAGTGCAGTCTCTCAAAGAAGCTTATCACATGGAGGTAAAGAGAAATATAATCTGTGTCAGTAGCCCTACTGAAATGAACTGACCTACTAGGATGGAACTATGAGGCTAGTTCTTGAAATGCTCATTGTAAATTAATATATTGTAATCTTCATTTTAAGCTAAATACATACCTTGCACTTACTGTCCTTTCACTTAAAAAGCTATTGTGCTCTAGATGTAAGAGGTCTAGTTCTTGAGGCAGACATCCTGAATCTAATTCCTGTTTGATAACTGTATGACCATGGATAACCTCTCCTTATTTAACCTCTCCAAGATGTGTATAATGATAAGAGCTATCTCATAGGACTGTCAAAAGGAATAAATTAATTACTATATGTGAAGTTCTTATATTAGAGTCTGACTTATCATTATTGACTGTAGAACTTGTGGAAAACAAACTGGAAGTATAGACATAAACCATTTTATGTGATGTGAAAATACTCTAAAGCACTTTGTAATTTCTAACCTCTAGTCTGATAGTAAATTAGAGAAGCAGTACTAGAATCGTTTTATCAATATGTTCTGAACCTTTATAAAAATGAACAGTATTATTAATTAAAGTATTTTTTATTTTTTAAAACATTTGAAAATATTACCCCAAATCTTTCATTTCTTAATATTTATTGAGTTTGGTTCTAAGAAAGCATTTTTCTGTAAAACAAAGACTACAAATGCATTTGTATTACACTTTTCTTTTTTCCTTGAAACAGTTTCTCATTATGTAGAGCTGGCTATCCTGGAACTCAGTATATATAACAGGCTGGTCTTGAACTGACAGATTTGCCTGTCTCTGCCTCCTGGGTGCTAGAATGAAAGATGTGCGCCACCATATCCAGCTTTTGTGAGGCTTTGGGGTAGGGACAGGGGCACTTGTAACTTATGTCTTATTTAAGTACATTTAGATTCAGATCTCTTTAAAAACTTAGTGCCTGCAAAATGAAACACAGTTTCAAGCTGTTTAAGAATACACTTCTTATACTATTTGTAACCTTTTATTATCAGAGGCAACTATTAGTCCATTTCAGGTATTTGCCATTTACTGCTCAGATGCTCTAATCTATTGTCTGTAGTTATCCACTTTAAGCCATTAATTTTATAAATTACCTAAAGTTAATTATAAGCAGATAATTCATAAAAATTGTTTAAAAAAATAGTTCCAGGGGCTGGAGCTATGACTCAGCTAGAAATGCTTCTCTTGCAGAGGATCCAGGTTCATTTCCCAGCACTCAAATAGCAGCTCACCAATGTCTATAACTCTAGTTCCAAGGTGACATGACACCATCTTCTGACCTCCACAGGCACCAGGCATACATGTAGCAAAATACTCATACACATAAAATTAAAAAATAAAATGAAATTCAGGGTTGGAGATATGACTCAGCAATTAAGAACCTAATTGCTCTTCAAAGGACCTTTGATTCTCAGCATCTGTATCAGTGGCTTACACCCACCTGTAACTCCAGTGCCTGCAGATCTGATGCCTCTGGCTTTTGCAAGCATTTGCTAACCTATTTACCTAGACACACACACACACACACACACACACACACACACACACACACACACACACACACGAGTTAAAAATAAATATCTTTAAAGGAGGTTTTAGTGTTTTTTAGTATGTGGGGATAATATTTTTAAGTATGACAAATATATAATTTGTATAAAATATTTTTTCTATTTAATTGTTAACAAAGATTTAGTTTTAAGGTGTATGTGTTGTTCTATATAAAATGAGAGGGCCGAACCAGGCACACTTGTACATGCCTGTAATCCCAGCATTTGAGAGAAACAGAAGTTCAAGGTCATCCTTGACTACATAGCAAGGGTTTGAGGCCAGTTTGGGCTACATGAGATCATGTCTCAAGAAACCCTAATAAATAAGTAAATATATATAAAATGAGAAGATATGCTATTATTTTACATCCTGGCTGCAGTTTCTACTCCCTCTTTTTCTCCCAGGCCTCCCCCCTCCACTTCTCTGTTCCCACCTCCAACCCCCCAATCCACTCCTTCGTTTCCGTTCAGGAAAGGGTAGATATACTATTGCAGTAATAGTTTTAAAATGAATTGCCAGTTTTTATTTTTAATTTTATGTGTATGAGTCTTTTGCCTGAATGTATTTCTGTGTACTATGGGTGTGAAGTCTCTGAGGGGGCCAGAAGAGGATGTTGGATGTCCTGAAACTGGTGTTGGAAATGAATGCTAGTCCTCTGGAAGAGCCAGTGCTCTTAACTACTGAGGCATCTCACCAGCTCTAGGAATTACTAATTTTAGTAATTTTTTTTGTTTCTTTAAAAAAAATGTTTGCCCAACCCAAAATTTAGGTTTCAGATTCATCAGAAAAATCATTTAATAATTGCAAAATTATTGTGGAGTGAGAATGATTTTTGTTATTTTATATTAAGTATTTATTACAGAAAAATTTAAACATTAAAGTGGATGGAATAATAGAAATAGAATAAATCTCCATATCAACTGTGACAAATCACTTACTGTTTCTTTTATTTAAAGGGAATACTTTGGGGTATGAAAAAGAACATTGGTAGTAATCATACCAGGGCACTAGACATAAAACTCAGATAATTTTAGGCATTTTTGGAAGTATGGTCAATATATCTTTACCCTCACTCACTTTCCTACCATCCTCCCAATCATATACTATTTTGATAACTAAATCCATGTATCAGTAGTTTATCAATTGAACTATTATTTCTTTTTTTTAATTTTTGAGACAGGGTTTCTCTGTGGAACAGTCCTAGCTGTCCTAGAACTCGCTTTGTAGACCAGGTTGGCCTCAAATTCGCAGAGATTCACCTGCCTCTGCCTCCCAAGTGCTGAGATTAAAGACATGCGTCACCACCTCCCAGTTTATTAATTACTTCTAATTGAAGGGCTATTTGAAAAAAAGTTCTAATAAATTGCAGTGGTATTTTCACATCACAAAATTGAGAACCCCTTTTTTTTGTTAAGTATTAAATATTCTTTATGTAATATTATACATAAACCACCCTAAAATGCTTTCAGTCCATAGGGAATTCCAATTGGTGTTTTCAAGAGCAGACAGTTGCTTCCTGATGTTTAACCATATTGCCTGTACCAGGCCAGCGAAGACAGTGAGTCTTCTGCTTAGTTCTGAGACAGTAAAGAGATGTTTCCCAGTGTTTAAATATATTTATATAACCAGTTATATAAACTTAAGTATAATATAAATTAAGTATGGGCTTTGAGGTGACATCCCCCATCTTTGGATAAAAGTGAATATTAATAAAGTCCAATCCTATCTTGAGAAAGGGAAAGCAGTGGTCATGAAGTATAATAAGGTAAAAAAGATGAATTATTAGATACTGATTTATTTAGTGCTTTACTTAAATCACTGCTTATATTACCTATTTGCCAAGCATGATTTACTTGTTACCTGGAACATAATAACCTGGAGAAATAGCTGAAACAATGAGTCATTGCCCTTAACAACCTGCCGACTGCCATGCATGTTTCTGTAAACTCCTACTTGCTTGTCCACCCCACCTTCTGGTGTCAGATACAAAATGAGATGCAAACCTAGACCCAGAGCCAAGGCTCTTCAGGAGCTGTCCTGGCCTTGTCCACCAGTGTCATCTCTTCTCTTCCACTCTCACTGGAATCAGAGTGCTTATTCCAGAAAGATTCCTGCAACAACAGCATTTATGGAGCAGAAGCTGTTGTGTTTTTTAAAAGATCATATCTACATTACTACAAGCCAATTTTACTTAAATCAGGACTGTCCAACAAAAATATGTTGTTTTTAACAAATTTTCATTTGTTTGATTTTACCAATAAAGACTCAGGAGCCAGGTGCTGGGGTGAGAGCCTGCTAGCTCAGTGTGGCAGGCAAAGCACTCAGCTGGCCATCCTCCTCCACTGGTGTTCTGTAAGCCCTCTCCTTCTTCCCTGCAATCTCCAACCACCTCCTTAAACTAAATGTCCTCCCTTCTACTTCCTGTGCGTCTATCTGTCCTCTTGATTCCTTCTTACTCTTTATGGTTTTTTCTTAATCCTATGTTCACTTTCTGCCTACTGGTTGCTTGCTCCTCCTCTTGACCTATGGTTGACTTTATTTAATCCTGTTTACAGTATTGAAACAGAAAGCTCTTGGATTAAAGATGTGTGCTAGGGCTGAGCCACACCACAACAAGAAAAAGGTTTTTTCCCGTAAATAATGCTATCTCGCGGTTCACAGTGTGACCAAATATCCTGTAACAAAAATATTCTGTTAGTATTCATGATTTAATTCTGGTGTATGAATTAAATATGCTACACATTAAAAGCCATGAGAAATTTGTTTTGTAATGTATAGGGCAGTGGCAATTACTCATTAGTATCCTTTTAAGACAAACAGTTATGTCTGCCCTTTCTCCCTTTCTTAGTGAGGGTTATTATTGCTATGATGAAACACGATGAACAAAAGCAAGATGGAGAGAAAAGGGTTTATTTGGCTTACACTTCCACATCACTGTTCGTCATCAAAGGAACTCAAACAGTGCAGGAGCCTAGGGGCAGGAGCTGATGCAGAGGCCATGGAGGGGTGTAGCTTATTGGCTTGTTCCCCAGAGCTTGTCTGAACCCACAATGGGCTGGGCCCTCCCCCATCACCTGCTAATTAAAATACCCTACAAGCCCAGCAGTGGTGATGCAAGCCTTAATCCCAGCACTCTGGAGGTAGAGGCAGGCATTCAAGGCCAGCCAGCATGGTCTACAGCGTGAGTTCCAGGACAGCCAGGGCTACACAGAAAAACCCTGTCTCTAAAAAAAAAAAAAAAAAAAAAAAAATTGAAAATATAGGCTTTTCTGTAACCCAATCATATGAAGGCATTTTATTAATTGAGGCTCTCTCTTCTCCAGTGAATCTAGCTTGTGTCAAGTTGACATAAAACTAGCCAGCACACTCTTGTTGATTCTGGAGAAAATTACTTTGTTCCACAGATAAACTTTTTGGGTTTCTCCAAATCCTCCATCAGTATCCTTTCCTCAGGCAATACCTTGTTGGCACTAGATGGCCTGATTCATCTTCTTCCCAAGCAGCTCATGGAAATTTGGTCCAGTCCTATTCTTGCCTTCCTTTTCCACAGTATAGCCCTGGACACACTTCTGAACAAAAATCTTCTTGCTGTTCTCAACCTCATCCATTTTTAATTTGCTCCCTGCTGGTCAACACCACCAACATTATGACCTGAAGCCACAGATGTCCCACTCTCTCAAGTATTTTCTTTCTCCTTCCTTCCTTCCTTCCTTCCTTCCTTCCTTCCTTCCTTCCTTCCTTCCTTCCTTCCTCCTTCCCTCCCTCCCTCCTTCCCTCCCTCCCTCCCTCCCTTCATTGATTTGTGTTGGGTTGGTTTGGTTTGGTTTGGTTTGGTTTGAGTTGTCTCTCTCTATAAGCCCTGGATTTCCTGAAACTCACTATGTAGTTCAGGCTGTCCTAGAACTTAAAGAAATCCAACTGCCTCTGCCTCTGGAGTGCTGGGATTAAAGACATGTGCCACCACACCCAACTATGAGAGTATTTTCTTTATATCAAATGTCTAGTAATTATTCAGATTTCTCCAGTTGTCTAAAAAAAATTCTTTATAGTTTATTTATGTAAATCAGAATCTAAATATGGTATATGGTTAATGGTTAAGTGAATGTAAGACTATGTTCTTTTTTCCTTGAATATTGTATTTAGTGTGAAATCAGATGTTTATAGCTATAAATTTTATCTCTTAAGGAAAAATAATAATAATAGTAGCAAGTATTAAAATGTTGAAAACAACTCTACCCTGCTTTCTTTTTACAATTTTGGGACTGTAAAGATGATTTCACATCAAGAAAACCATACAAAGTGGAAAATTTCTGCTGACTCTCAAAAGACTTCTGTTCAACAACTAAACGAACAACTAGAGAAAGCAAAACTTGAATTAGAAGAAGCTCAGGATACTGTAAGCAATTTGCATCAACAAGTTCAAGACAGAAATGAAGTCATTGAAGCTGCAAATGAAGCATTACTTATTAAAGTAGGTAAACATATGAAAGTAATGAAATAATATTTGTGAAATAAATGATTTATTTTCTTGTTCCCATTTATAGAGGTCTACATGATCAATTATTGACTTGAAACAAAGTATATCTTGTTTAGAAGACAAATACAAGATATTATTAATGCGATATACATGATATTACCACAAAATAATTTATATATATTTAAATATAAATGCTTCCATTTATAACATTTACTATAGTGGGTATTATACCTGATGTGCCTTAAAAAAAAGTAGAAGCATTTTTCAAAATCAGTTCAGTAAAGTTCCTTTGAAAATTATAAGTAAAAATATAAGAATATATTCAGAACTTTTTTAAAACTGCGTTTAAATATAGATGCTTTTAAAATAGCTTAGGCTGTCTGTTCATCTGTTTTGATTATGGCAATTTGTGTGGAGTTTGAAATTAACATTATGGATGCTTAAATATTCATTGAAACCCTTTATAAAAGAAAAATAGAGTGGTAGCAAAATAGAAGTTATTGAAAAAGAAATAAAATCAACTAATACCATATATATATATATATATATTTCCATTTTTGTACTTAGCTGAGTAACTCACCCTTCCTTTATAATACAGTTTATATTTATAGTACTAGGTACATATGATAGACATAATCTAAAATTATATGTAGGACCTGACAATACAGCTTAGTGGCAGAGTCTCTGCTTACCATGCAGGATGCTCTGGATTCAGTCCTCTGCATTAATAGAATGTTTAGGCTAAACACTGTGTATGCGTATGTTTGTTAAGAATGAAAACACTGGCCAGACAGTGGTGATGCATGCATGCCTTTAATCCCAGCACTCAAGAGGCAGGTAGGTGAATCTCTTGAGTTCAAGACCAGCCTACTGTACAGATCGAGTTCCAGGACAGCCCAGGCTACACAGAGAAACCCTGTCTTGAAAAACAAACAGACAGACAGAAAAAGGAATGAGTATAGTATTAGTGCTTTTACTAAGATGATGTTCCTACTGCTGTGGGTTGCAGCTCAGTGACAGAACACTTGACCGGCATGTATGAGGTCCTAGGTTGAACCCCTCCCTGGTCAAGGCACTTTTTTTTTCTCAAGTGTTCTGGGAGTTTATAAAATTTACACAAAATTACAGATCTTTGTTGTAAAAAAAAAAACAAAACCATCCTTCAGAAATTAAAATATTTGGGGCTGGAGAAATGGCTCAGCAATTAAGATCACTGGCTTCTCTTTCAGAGGTCCTGAGTTCAATTCTCAGCATCCACATGGTGGCTCATAACCATCTGTAATGGGATCTGGTGCCCTCTTCTGGTGTGCAGGCATACATGCATATATATGGCATAAAGGCAGAACAATGTATATATAATAAATAAATCTTTTTTTAAATCAAAATATTCTATATTGTATCCCTAGTTACAGTAATTATTTTGCTTATTCACCAGAGATTGTCCATGAGAACAGTACAATTTGATTACTTGTGGCAATCATTCACATTTTAAGTTTGGCTATTTATGAAATATATAAATATATATATTTATGTCTACAGAGTGTGTTCCAGGACAGCCAGGGCTACACAGAGAAACACTGTCTTGAAAAAAAAAATTATTGTTATCTTTTGTGTATGAGTGTTTTGCCTGCATATCTGTATGTGCACCATGTGCATGTAGTTCTCACAGAGGCCTGAAGACGGAAACAGATTCCCTAGAACTGGAGTTATGAATTGTTGTTAGCCTTCCTGTGGGTACTACAAACCAAAGCCAGTTTCTCTGCAAGAACAGCAAATGTTCTTATCTGCTGAACCATCTTTCCAGCCAGATAAATAGCTGCAGTTCTTAAATAAGCCATGGATAGCCCCCCTCCCCCATAGCACTTTTGATATCAGGCAAAGGTTTCCTTTTTGAGATATTTTAACAGAAGAGAGGAGGGGGAAGCAAATGAAGCTGTACTACCTAACCCTCTTTTTGTTTGTATTTGTTTTAGGATATTGTGAAGTTGTGTAAAATAGCACTAGCTTTCTACTTGAGAAATACAGTTTCTGCTTATCATTTATTCCTTCCCTGTGGCACTTGACATTTTAATTGTCTTAAACTTTTTAATGTACATCCTCTGGCCCCTTACACACTGCCAGAGGAGAAGGTGTTTGTTTGAGATTCATTCCACTTGCAGTGTCTCCTGGGATCCCCGCAGCTTACATATATGGCTGGGAAATGGACTTGAAAAAACGGGCTTGAATTGGATCATAACCTGTGAGATCCCATCATGAGTCATTGGGATTTATGTTGCATGTAAGGCAATCTTTCCTGTTGTAAATCTTCCTTTTTTATGTACATATATTTTGAGAAATATGAATAAACATGAAGTTTTAAGAAAAAATAAGCCATAGATAAAGAAATCTTAGGAGGTGTATGATGATTAATTAATGTAGCTAATGTAGAGTGATACTAGTTTTAAAACAGAATTTCTTTCGCTGTTGACACACCTCTCAAAGTCAACCTTAGCTAGCTCTAATGTCTTCGCTAACGAGAACAAAAAGAATAAAGGCTAATAATCTAAGAGCTTAGAAGATGTAACGGAGCAATTAGAAGTAGGTGTAAGTAGTTCTGGGAATGCAGCTCAGTCGGTAGAGTGTTTGTCTAGCATGCACAAAGCCCTGATTTCGATCCCAAGCACTGCATAAAACCAGATGAACTAGTATATACCTGTAATCCCAGCACTTGGAAGATGGAGACATGAGGCTCAGGAATTCAAGGTCATGGTTGGTGGCTACATAGTGAATTTAAAGCTAACATCTCAAAGACTAAAAACAAACAAAAGCAAAAATCCCAGTAGCTGCAGAGTAGAAAGCAGTTCCATTGAGAACATCAGGCAGTGACAGACAACAAAATTAGAAGGAGGGAAATGACTCACTTTGAGGGACTTGATTTTTCCTGTCCAATTGTTATAGTGCCTGAATTAGTATTCTAGTATTTGAGGGCAACTGGAACAAGTACAAAGCTAAGATAATTTTCTTAGAGCCCTAAAGGTATAAGTATATTATAGCACACCATAATGTTTACACTGTGACATTTGATCCTAAGAAAAAGTTTAATTATGCTTAATGTTATTCTGCATAGTGCATTTCATTGTGAACAGTTATCCTTATCAGTTATCCAAAAAGAAGAGGAAAATACATGTAAATAAGAGACTAGTTTACTTATATTATTTCTCTTACAAAAATGAAATTACAACCAGATATAATGGTGCATGTCTATAATCCCATCATACTAAGGGCTGAGGAGGAGAGTCAAACCAAAGTTTGAGGCCAGATTGGGTTAGGTACCATAACACACACACACACTGTCTCTCTGTCTCAAAAAAAAATCTTTATGTTTTTAAGTCTTATGGGTTTTCAGTGTTTATCTTAGTTTCTTTTCTAAAATCTAGTTTAGGAAAGCTTTCTTATAATAGGAACATAAACACATATTAACTGTGGTAGTTTGAACGAGGATGGCCCCCTTAGGTTCATATTTAAATACTTGGTCCCCAGTTTATGGAACTGTTTGGGAAGGATTAGAGAGTGTGGCTCTGGTGGAGGTGTATCAGTGGTGGTGGCTTTGAGGTTTCAAAATCCCAGGCCATTCCCAGTTAGATTTTTCTCTCTGCCTGCTACTTGTTGATCAGGATGTACACTTTCAGCAGTATGTCTATCTGCTGCCATGATCTCCACCATAATTGTCATAGACTCACCCTCTGAAACTGTAAGCTCCAATTAAATGCTTTCTTCTATAAATTGCCTTGGTCATGGGATTTTGCCACAGCAGAAGAAAGGTAAATAAAGCAGAAGACGCCAGAGAGTGTGCTATTGCTGTGACAGGTCTAAAGATGCTGTTTTTAATTTTTGTTTATTTTTGAGGAATGTTGAAGACTTTGGGACTTTGAACTACAAAAGTGGTTGAACATTATAAGCAGAGTTTAATGGACCACACTAGTATGAACTTGAAAGACAGTAGTGCTGAGTGCAATGTGGACTGTGGAGGTCCAGCTTAAGAGATTTCAAAGGAAAACAATATTAGCAATTGGACTAGTGTCTTAGTTACAGTTTCTATTGCTGTGAAGATACACTGCAACCATGGCAACTCTTATAAAGGAAAACATTTCATTGGGGTTAGCTTACTGTTCAGAGGTTTAGTTCATTATCATAAAGGCAGCATGCAGGCAGACATGGTGCTGGAGAAGGAGCTGAGAGTTCTACATCTTGATCTGCAGGCAGCAGAAGCAACTGTGTGCCATACTGGGCAAAGCTTGAGCATAGGCGACCTCAAAGCCTGGCCCCACAGTCACACATTTCCTCTAACAAAGTCACACCTCCTAATAGTGCCATTCCTCATGAGTGATGGTTATGATAAACCAGCAGAAAAGTCACGGGGCCATGGCAGAACCCAGTGGTACTTTTTAGAGCTTTATTAGGAGGGAAAGGGGGGAAGAAAGAGGGGAACCAGGCCTGGGGAGAGGGAGCAGAGCAGAGAGAGAACACACAGAGAGAGGGTGCATGACCCGTAGTCGCCAGCACCTGCTGATGATGTAAGATGCAAGACCCCAAGCTGCGCATGTACAGGATCCTAACAATAAGGGCCATTTTCTTTCAAACCACCACAGCTAGAGACAATTCTTGTGATATTTTGGCAAAGGATGTGGCTCCTTTTTACCCTTGTTTTAAAAATCTACCTGGAGCTAAATTGAAGAGTTTGGGACTAATTTTGTTGGCAGAGATTTCAAGATAGTCAAATGTTGACTCTGTCATGTGGCTATTAGTGATCACTCTCATGCAGATCTACAATGACAAGAACAAGTGGGGCAATAAATCAAATGTAGTTTGAGAAGAAGAGCGGAAATTTAATGTTGGAACCAAAGTTTGTACTGAAAGAATCATGAAATGAAATAAAGGGAGTGGTGCCCTGAGGTGAGACCCCACCCAACTAACCCTGCAACTTATGAAAGGGGCTAAGAAATTATCTGTTCCAAAAAAGCAATAACCAATCAAAGTAGCTCAAACCGGCAGCTGCCGCTCATTTGAGAGAGACAATTAGGAACTGTTTTTAGCTCCATTTTAGTATCTTTTTTCTCAGTTTTTAGGTGGAAACCCTTGCCCCACATTGGGCGCCATTTCTAGCTAGAGTTTTCCTGCCTGGCCCACAGTCAGGACAAATCTCTCTCACCCACCAGTCCCACAGCCACTCAGACCCAACCAAGTAAACACAGAGACTTATATTGGTTACAAACTGTATGGCCGTGGCAGGTTTCTTGCTAACTGTTCTTACAGCTTAAATTAATCCATTTCTATAAATCTATACCTTGCCACGTGGCTCGTGGCTTACCAGCATCTTCACATGCTGTTTGTCATCGTGGTGGCTGGCAGTGTCTCTGACTCAACCTTCCACTTCCCAGCTTTATTCTCCTTGTCCCGCCTATACTTCCTCCTGCCTGACTACTGGCCAATCAGTGTTTTATTTACCAACCAATCAGAGCAACACATTTGCCATACAGAACATCCCACAGCAGTCCCTAGTTGATGGAACTGTTTGGGAAGGATTAGGAGATGTGGCCATTTTGGAGGAAATATGTCAGTGGAGTTGGGCTCTGAGGTTTCAAAAGTCCTCACCATTCCCTGTTAGCTCTCTTTCTTTGCCTCATGCTTATGTATGAGATGTGTAAGCTCTCAACTACTGCTTCAATACCATACCTACCTGCCCGCTGTTAGACTCCCCACCATGATGGTGATGGACTCACCCTTTGAAATGTAAGCCCCCATTGAATGCTTTCGTCTATAATTGCCTTTTCACAGCAGTAGAAAAGTGACTAAGACAATAACCAATATGTATTTACTTCCTATTAGAAATCCTATAAGTAGTCCTAAAAGTAGTTAGATTTAAAAAAAAAGTTCACCTCTATACTTTCACAGATAAACTTATAAGTGTAAGATTGAAATCTTTAACATTAAAATGGTCTCTATGGAAAATCTAGTTTTCATGAAATTCATTAGAATATTGGAAGAAATTTTCAAATGAAAATACATAATCTCAAAATGCAGCTATCTTTAGTAGTAGAAGGTTTGAAAAACACTTGTAAAATTCTCAAGAACTTTTATTTTAAAAGTTTCCATACTGAGACAAAAACTGACAAAGATGACTTCTCAGAGTCTATGATTTTATAAGTAGTTTATTAAACAGAAATATATTGAGCTTGTACTATGTACCAATTTCTCTACAGGAATCAGAATTAACCAGATTGCAAGCCAAAATTTCTGGACATGAAAAGACAGAAGACCTCAAGTTTCTACCACCTTCCTTTACAACTCTAACAGAAATTATGCCTGATATTCAAGATCCAAAGTTTGCCAAACATTCTCAGATATCATTTTTCAAATGCAGAAAACTACGTCGCTCTGTTAGTGCCACTGACCTTAGTTTCAAGAGTCATACCAATGAAGATCTCTCTGAAGAATTGCTACAGGACTTAAAGAAAATGCAGTTAGAACAGCCTTTGGCATTAGAAGGTGGTCATAAAGACCTAGCTTTCAAGCATTCAGATTCATTTAAACCTCTCCCATATGACCTGGAAGATGATAGTTCTGAGAGTAATGACTTTAGTACTCTTAGTGGAATGCTGAGATACATAAACAAAGAAGTGAGACTGTTAAAAAAGTCTTCTCTGAAAACAGCTACTGGTTTAACTCAGGTATGTATTTCACACATTACCACATAAAGCAGTCATTCCTAAAGTATTTTGCTTAAAGTGTTCAAGAAATTGAAGATTCTAGGATGGGAAATATAATTCAGTTGGTAGGGTATCTGCCTAGTGTGCCTGAAGTCCTGGGTTCACTTTCCAGCTCTGCATACACTGGGCATATACACCTTTATAGGATTATTATTAAGTATTATATAATAATATTATATATTATTATTATAGGATTATTCCTAGCACCTGGGGGATACTAGGATCAGAAGTTTAAGGTTGTCCTAGGTTACGGAGTAAGATCCAGACCATCCTGAGCTCCATGAGATACTCTCTCAAAACAAACAAACAAACAAACAAAAAACGAACAACAAACCAACCTACCAAAAACAACTTGGGAGGCAGAAGCAAGGTGTGTCTCTGAGTTCTAGGCCAGCCAGGACTATGTCGTGAGAGCCCAGTCTGAGGAAGACAGAGAGAGGAGAGAGAAATTGAGATTGAAGATTCAATACAGTTAACTGAAAAATAAACCCTTTATGAAATAGAAGAAAAAAATAAGAGTCCGTAATAGTTTGCAGGAGGAGATTATAGAGAAGTAGAGGAGTTGGTGTTATGTGAAAGACCCCGGGACACAGTGAGAAGGAAGACAGGCTATGTGGCTATAAAAACAAACAAGGGGCAGAACGTCTGTGGTGGGAGAGAAATTTCTTTACTGATTGTCTCTTTGTGAAATAACAAACAAGTTTATTATCCAAGTCAGGGTAAGGTGATGGAAGTTTCTTGTTTTTGTTTGTTTGTTTGTTTTTTGGCTTTTTTTCACTATCTTACTAGGCAGTCCTAGCTGGCCTCCAACTAACAGAAATCCACCTACATCTGCCTCTCAAATGCTGAGATTAAAGGCATGCACCATCACTCCAGACAAAGGTATTGGAGGCTTAAGAGCAGGAAAACTAGCAAGCCTTTAGTCCCAACTGGGAAGTAGAGGCAGGTAGATCTCTGTGAGTTCAAGGTCAGCCTGGTCTACAGAAGGAGTTCCAGACAGCCAGGGCTACAAAGAGAAACCCTCTCTCTCCCCTGCCCCACCCCCAAAAAGGAAAACTACATGAAGTAGTAGTTAACTTACAGAGTAGAAAAGTACACATTCACCATCATACCTGGAAGTCTAGTAGACTTACTAGCCAGATATCCATGTAAAATAAGATCAGCTGCTATTAACTTCCCCCTATTGTATCTTAGAAACAGGGTATCTTTTTTCCCATTATAAGGACAACCAAAAAGTATTCTTAAAAGTGTTCTCAGAGGGACAGTTCTACTTCTTTTTCAAACTTCTCCTCTATTCTAATGGTAATGAGTGCTACAGATATATAAGACTGGTTTTGGCAAAAATACCAAATTTTTTTTTTTTGGTTTTTTTTTTTTTTTTTTGGAGACAGAGTTTCTTTGTGTAGCCCTGGCTGTCCTAGAACTCACTCTGTACATCAGGATGGCCTTGAACTGAGAGATCCGCCTGCCTCTGCCTCCTTGGTGCTATGATTAAAGGCGTGCACCACCACCAGCCAGCATAGAACCTATTTTATACAGGATAAATTTGACCCCAAAATGACAAATTTGTAATAATAACTTATAGAATTTACTATATGCAAGGAACTATTCTAAATTTTTTATATAACCTCAATCCCTGAAACAACCCTGTGATACATACTATTCTATTAGTAATAATAACTAATAGTGCTTAGTATTTCTTCTATTGTAGTGATATTATTATCCCCATTATATCAATGAAAAATCCAAGTCCCTGCTCTTAACCACTATGCTATATTGTAAACATTCAGATTGTTCATAGACTTCATGTTCTGGGTAGCCAAGTTTGTTTCACAGCACCTATGTCAGGCAGCTCCAACTTCAGGGAATCCGATGGCCTTCTGCCTCTGCAGGCACTGCACTCACATGCAGTAACCCACATACAGACACATACTTGCACAGGTAATTATAACTAAAGCAACAACAACAAAACAAAAAACTCTCCTATTCTGGCTGGGCATGGTTACACAATCTTATAATCCCATTAGTTGAGCAGACCGAAGCAAGAAGAACACAAATTGGAAGCTAGCTTGAGCTACTCTGCCAGCAAAAAAACAAATTTAAAACAAACAAAAACAAAAGAAAAAACAAGCTTTCCATTATAATTTTGTTTTGGACTAGAGTAAAGCAATAAGAACTCTATTAGGAACTTATAAAATATTACTTATATCCATCCTATTTCCAAAAAGGGCAGTAAATAGTTCACAAAATGTGATTATGAGAAATGACAAAATCAGCCTAAAGAAAAACCAAGATAGGAAAAAAAGATGAAGCAAGAGAATAAGGAAATATATAGAAACATGATAATATTTTCCAATTCAAGGTATGATAAGATTTGACCTATTTTTTAAAAAACTCTCTTAAGTCTTCCTCTGTCTTTCTTCTTTTCTATGCTGTATTGCTTTACCTGCAAGCATTTCTCTCTTTTTGCTTTTTTCCATATTCATATAACCAGTTTGCTCTCCTTTACTGTGTATGTTAGTCTAAACCATAATGAGATGTTGATGTCTGTATATTACTTTAAGATTTATTTTATCTTTGATTATGTGTGTGTAGGTCTTCATATGTGCCTTCAGAGTCTAGAAGAAAGCATAGGATCTCTTGTAGGTGGGGTTACAGGCACTTGTGACATGGGTGCTGGGAATCAAACCTGGGTCTCCTAAAATAGCAAGGGCTCCTCTCAACTGCTGAGCCATCTCTCCAGTCCCTGCATCTAATTTTTATGTCCCCTAGTTGGAGTGTAAAACCTGGTTTAACTGTATGCTCCTATATTAGCATTACCAGAATTACTTGCGTTTTTATAACCATGTGATATATTATTGACATTTTCTGATTTTTTTTTTCAATTAGTTAACATTTCCCACTTTATCTTTAAATTATGTGCTTAAATGTTATGGTAGATTTTAATGCTATAGCAATATCATTTTAATTTCATATTAATCTATTTTGCATTCTAGGGAGGAAAATTATAATTAAAAGAAGATGTCTATGTCATGAAAAATGGAATTGTTGGTACTGTGCTGTTTATTATATGTAGTACATATTTCATAGAAGCTGTTATTTTATTGTTTTTGAATAAATTTTATTTTAACATTTTAAAGAAACCTTTCTAAAATATAATTATATTTTTAGTGAAAATTAATTAATTTATTATTTTTTGATGGAAATTGCTGGTTTCCTTGTCTTGTCTTTTACATAAAGATAATGGCTAAAATACCTAATAAGTAAATTTAGCATTTGTATTTTTAGTCATGCTACCGTATTATCTGCTATCTTGTAATATTTACTTTTTAAATTAGGAATATGAATTTATAAGTCATTCTATGATAAGTTTTTAAGATTTGCTGGGTGTTCGATGTTTATCAGAAACTTTATATTTAATCATCAAAACAGCCCTATGAATCAGATATGTTCCTATTTCTGTTTTTAAATAGAATTATTTAACATGGTAGAATTATATGTTCTCAAGAAAGTTAATCATTGCAAGTATTTAGAGTTAATTTTGTGTTAGTGATTCCATTTATACATGGTTAGCACTTAGAATTAAACATTGAAGTCGTTAATATATTATTAGTCACCCTGTGGGTGCTGGGAGTCAAACCCAGATTCTCTGGAAGAGGAGCTAATGCTTTTAATCGTGGAGAAATCTCTCCACCCTGTCCATTAGTATGCTAGTAGTATAATCTGAAAAACACCAAGTTAGAAAGTCTAGAGCCATAAAGTATATTTGAAAGTTTATAATACCCAATATGAGCATTACAGAAGTGATGATAATTGGCAATGACAGAAAGATTACTTCTCCTAAAGACAGTTGAATAGCAAATATCGATTCTGTAGAAAAAAAATGATAGGATAAATATGAAAAGAAGAGATAGGATGTGGAGAGCATTAAAGTTAAGAAGAGAAGGGGTGTAGAAAAAGTATTTAGAGTTATAGCTGAAAATACCTCAAATTTAATGAAAATAAATTAGAACCTGTAGACCTAAATTCAGTAAAGCCTAAGTAGGACAAATACACACACACAGTCTCACTTAGTCATATAGTAGTGAAATTCTGAAAACCGAAAATATAAAGAATATCTTAAAAGCAGATTTCAAAAGTCTTATTTAGGAAGATAGCAATCCAAAAGAAGGCTGATTTCTAACTATTATTTATAAACAATTTGACTCCCCCATCCCTTTGACAGAGTCTTATTATGTTTTATGATGTAGCCCTGGCTGGCCTGGGACTTCCCATGTAGACCAGGTTGGACTTGAACTTACAGAAATTCACCTGCCACTCCTATGGAGTGCTAGGATTAAAGGCATGTTCCACTATGCCCATCTATTTGACATATTTTAAATATTAAAACACTAATATGCTGACAGTAAATGGAATTTTTATTTTAAAATATCATATAAACAGTAGACATAAGAAAACTTCAGTGCTATATTAATATCAGACAAAGTGGGCATCAAAATGAAGATATACTCTTAAATGTATATACCTCTAATGCCAGACTTCAAACTAATGGAATTAAAAGAAAGAAAAAGAAAGAAAGGAGGGAGAGAAAGAAGGAGTCCACACTCAGTAGGAAGTCTATCTTATGCTTTTTAGTAATTGAAAGAATAAAAGAACAAAAATGTGAGTAAATATATAGCAAATTTGAACAGCAACTTGACTTAACATTTAAAGAACACTTACTCTAACTGGAGAATGCACACTTGAGTACAGCAGCAAATTCTGAGAAATCAAGTGTTGGGCTACAATTTGAATCATAATAATATTTTAAAATTTGGAATCATCTTACAATGATTTATTTTGAGACAAGGACTCAAACTATTGCCTAGGCTGCTCAGGGACTCACTCTACAAACCACCGGGCTGGCCTTGAACTTATGACAGTCCTTCTGCCTCAGCCCCCAAGCAGTGAGATTACAGACATATACCACTATGCTTGGCTATTAGATTTTCTTTTGAGATTTTATGTGTATGAGTGTTTGCCTGAGTGTATGTCTGCACCACATGCATGCATGTGGTGGAGGCCAGAATCAGATAGATTCCCTGGGACTAGAGTTAATAGATGATTGTGAGCTGCCATGTGGGCACTGGGGAATTGAACCCAGGCTCTCTGGAAGAGCAGCCACTCAACTATTTCTCAGCCACTTAATTGATTCTCTCCTTTTCTTCTCTCCCTCCCTGCCTCCTTCCTTCCTTCCTTCTTTCTTTTATGGTACAGGAAACCAAACCCAGAGCCTCATACATGCTAAGCAAGTACCTTGTAATAATGAATTACAAGGTACTGAACTCATTCCGTGTTGAATGTCTTTAACAAATACTCGCGGGCCGGGGGGAAGCATCAGTATTCGCATCATATTATATTTAAAAACTAGGTCAAGGGCTGGGGAGGTGGCTCAGAAGTATGAGGACTTAACTATAAATCCCCAGCACTTAATATAAACTGGACATGTTGTACAAATGTTATAATCTCAGCGTATCTATAGGGAGGTAGTTGGCATAAATGAGAGAATTCTTGGAAGTTCATAGATTAGCTAGCCTAATTTATCTAGCAAAAAACCAACAGAGAACCTGTCTCAAAACAGATTGAAGGCAAGGACCAACAGCTACACCCAGGATTGTCCTCAGACTTCCACGCACATGCTGTGGCATATATGCACCCACATTCACTTACATATATACACACATGCAGCAGGGTCCTAATTAGTCTTAATAATAAAGAGCCAGAGTCAGATATTGAGGGCAAAAGCTGAAAGATCAGAGGAGCAGAGCAGCAGCCACTTCTTACCTCCATGAATCCTCAGACTGAATGGGGCTGTATCATGTCTTTAACCATCTTATATTCCTGTCTTCACCTCCTGACTGTGCTGGGATTAAAGGCATGTGCCACCACCACCCATCTCTTTCTCTTTTACATTCAATCTTATGTAGCCCGGGGTGGTCTTGTGTGGTGATACTTTTGTTTGTGCTCTAACAAATAAAGCTTGCCTGGAGATCAGAGTGTGGAGCTAGCCACTTAGAGGATGGGCAGTGGTGGCACACACCTTTAATCCCAGCACTTCGTGTCTCATGCCTTTGATCCCAGTACTTGGGAGGCACATGCCTTTAATCCCAGCACTTGGGAGGAGGAAACATGAAGTGATATGGCTGGACAGAGAGAGGAAGTGATAAGGTGGGGTGGAGAACAGAGCTCAGCCCTTTCAGTCTGAGGATTCCTAGAGGTAGGAAGTCTTTCTAGTGGCTGGCTGCTCTGCTCCTCTGATCTTTCAGCTTTCACCCTGCTATCTGACTTTGTGTTTTCATTATTAAGACCAGTTAGAATTCACACTACATTTGGTGCCCAATGAGGGGTGCCATTTGTAAACAGAGGCTTTTCTGTCCCGCCTGATCCTACAGCTGCTTTTAAAATAATCACTCAGAGCTGGGAGGTAGTGGTGCATGCCTTTAATCCCAGCACTCGGGAGGCAGAGGCAGGTGGATCTCTGTGAGTTCGAGGCCAGCCTGGGCTACAGAGTGAGTTCCAGGAAAGATGCAAAGCTACACAGAGAAACCCTGTCTCAGAAAACCAAAAAAAAAAAAAAAAAAAAAAAAAAAAAAAAAAAAAAAAAAAAAAAAAAAATCACCCAGAGGCTTAATATTAATTACAAACTGTTTGGCCTATGGCTCAGGCTTAATACTTAATACTAACTAGCTCTCACAACTTAAATTAACCCATTTTGATTCATCTGTGTTTTGCCATGTCTCATGGCCTTAACTGTGTCCTAATACATATTGCTACTTCAGTGGCTGTCTGGCATCTGCCAGACTCCATCCTTCTTTTTCCTGTATCTCTGCTTGGATTTCATGCCTGGCTCTATTCTGTCTTGCTATAGGCCAAAGCAACTTCATTATTAACCAATGGTAATAAACATATCCCACATCAGCCTTGAACTCCTGATCTTCCTGCTTCCTCCTCCAAGTGCTGGGATTAAAGGTGTGTGCCACTGCTGCCTGGCATCTATGGTTAACTAGTGGCTAGCTCCATCCTCTGATCTCTACGTCAGAACAGAAACATAATATCATACAACACACACACACCACACAGTCATTGTACACCTGTGCACACATGCACACCACACTAGGTCAGGATGGATCATGGACATTAATATAAACATTAAAACCATAAAGCTTCTAGAAGAGATAGAATAACTTCATGACCTTGTGTTGGGCAAATTTCACAGGACCCAGAAAGCACTAATTATGAAAGAAAAAGTTAATGAGCTGTACTTTATCAATATTCATAACTTTATCATTTCCCACCATTAAGAAAATGAAAAAGGCAAATGGCAAAATGAATGCTATCAGTATATATAACATAGGAGTTGCTTTTAAAAATTAAGAATTCTCTGTAACTCAATATAAGACAATTATCCCCCAAAAAAGACAAACATCCAAATTTAAAATAGGCATAAAAACTTGAATAGATATGCTTCTGCAAAGTATGTATGAATGACTATGTGCCCTAGTAAAAATGTTCAACATCTTTGGTCCCTAGAGAAATGAAAATTTTGAAAATTAAAAGCAGGGCTGGAGAAATAGCTCAGCCATTAAGACCTCTTGTTTCTTTTGCAGAGGACCCAAGTTCATTTTCCAGCACCCACATTGGGGCTCCCAAATGCCTGTATTTCCAGTTTAAGGAGTCCAATACCCGCTTCTGGTCTTGGAGGACACATTTTACCTACATACACTCAGACACACATAAAATAAAGTAAAATCTTAAAGAATTAAAAGCACATGTGATATAAGATAATACTAAAAGGCAGGCCTGGAAGACCTGGAGTATCTAGAACCACTTAAAAATCTGTTGACTTCTTTTAATATTGTACATGGTCTACTCAATATCATTCTTTGTGTTTAACCAGAGAAAGGAAAACATATATCCACCAAAAATCTTGCACATTCATATTCATACTTTCTCCATCTAAGCCAAAAAATGGAAACAAACTCAGATATTAGTGGTACTTGATATATTTAAGCAACTAACTACTGTAAATAAGAGTAAACTTTCATACTTGATAATAGCATGTATAAATCTCAAATTATACTGAAAGAAAAAACTATATGTAAAGTAAACCATACATTATTTCATTGGTAGGGATATGAAAAATAGACAAAACATTTATGATATTAAAAACCCCAAACAGTATTACTACTGGTTGAGAACTGAATAGGAAGAATTTGAAGTAAACTTTTTAGGTTTGCAGAAATGTTCTATTCCTTGATTTATTTGTTGGCTACACAGGTTAAGTATTTGTCAGGATTCTTTGATTTTCTTAAATACATAAATTTCATTTTTCATTAATTCTACTTCAATTAAAAGTTTTATACATTTAAAATTACAAAGTAGCCTTAGAAATTACGCAGATAGGGATTTACTCTGGTTTCTTATGTTACATGACCTTGCTTCTGGTTATGTTTTATAACGAAGCTTCGGTTTCTTTAGATGTAAAAGAAAATCAATATCTACTTTAGATTTATCTGGTGAGGACTAAATAAAGTGACACATGTGAAATACTAGTATGCTAGTACTATAGAGCAAGGTCTTAATAGACATTACATGTTATCACTGAGGCAGTGTAATCCTGTGTCACGAGTAGGGGTTCTGGAACCAGATTAATTCTTACCAGTTTGGAGTCTGGCTCTGCCATTAAGTTTCTATGTCACTTTTGATAAGTTACATAATTCTTCTGTGCTTCTCTACCCCACAACTATATAATATAATGATGGTACCTACCTTAAATGGTTGTTATGAGTATTAAGTAAATCATTATACTTATAACAGTGGCTTTCAATCTATAGGTGGAAAATCCTTTGGGGATTGAATGACCTTTTCACAGGGGTCGCCTAAGACCATTGGAAAACACAAGTATTTACATTCTGACTCATAACAGTAGCAAAATTACAGTGATAAAGTAGCAATGAAAATGATTTTATGGCTGGGGGTCACCACAACATGAGGAACCATTAAAGGGTCACAGCATTAGGAAAGTTGAGAGCCACTGACTTAGAATAATAGCTGACATTTAATAAATAATAGGAAATCTCCCCCCTCCCCCGCCCTGCTTTTTTTCCTTTTACTGTTACTCTAAGATTTCTTGTTCTTTAGTTATGTGAAGAAACTACTGATCTTATCAACTGCCCTGGTTCTTCTCCCCTTTAATACTGAAGCTGTTGCTTTTTGGTAAAGAAAACATTAGGTATGTTAGCATGCACCCGTAATCCCATTATTGAAGAGCTTAGGCAAAAAGATAATGAGTTCTAGACCAGCCCAGGCTACACAGTGAAACCGTTTCAGAAAGGAAAAAAAGTAAGTAAATAATGTGAGTAAATAAGAACATTACAATCACACTATGTAAAGACTACTAACGACTCACTAAAATCAGTTCTCCGCTTTTTCATAATTTTTAGCTGGGCCAATCATCAGGTTTTACATTTCTCTGCTCCTCCATTAAATTCTTGCCATCAGAACAAGAACAGAAATGATATTACCACTTCAGGCCAGGGCATCTGAATGTTAATTGCCTGTACTAAACTCCAACTTTAAAGATACAGAAAACATCATAGATGGCACACAAAAGGTACCTGGGTGCCCAAGTGACCTTGAGCATTCTTGGATAGCTACATCAGTGAGAAATAAATTTCTATTTTCTTAAAGCCACTGAATCATGAGGATCTCTTTAAAATAGTATAACCTCACCTTAACATAAGCATTATTCATTGTTACCTTAAAGTTCTATTGGTCTGCATATCTTACAGCTTTGCAAACCTAAGTCTGTTTTGACACTCCCTCACAGATATATACATATTTTGCAGATGACTAAGCTTCCTGCTTTAAAGAGAGAAGGACAACTAAAGAAGAGAACTCCCATGGTTTCCTGACCCAGTAATTATAAACATAATATGAATTCATTTTATCTACTTGTCACCTCATTGAAAGCTAGGTTTACTTTACTTCTAAGTAACCTGGTTCTTGTTTTATTTATTTATTTTTTTTTTTGGTTTATCAAGACAGGGTTTCTCTGGTAGCTTTGGAGCCTGTCCTGGAACTCATTCTGTAGACCAGGCTTTGGAGCCTGTCCTAGAACTCACTCTGTAGACTAGGCTGGCCTTGAACTCACAGAGATCCACCTCCTGAGTGCTGGGATTAAAGGTATGCGCCCTCACCATCAGGCTTCTGTTTTGTTTTGTTTTTTAATTTAAAAATTTTAAGAGTTTCATACATGATTTACATACATACTATATTTACATTATTTCTGTCCATCCTTTTTCTGTCTCCAGTTTCTGCCACATGCCCTACTTCCCCACCACAAATTCATGACGACTTCATTACTGTTATCTATCATCTGTGTATCTATGTATATATGCTTATACATAAATACATCAACCTACTGAATATATTTAGTGTTGCTCATAATTACATATGTTTAGGGCTGACCATACCCACAGATAAATGTGGCTCTCACCACTCATCACGGATATTTCTTTTTGCACCAGATAGAGACTATTACAGAGATCCACAGCTGGTAACATACAAAGAACAAGTGACTATGGGGTGTCCAATTCCAACTGGTGTATCTACAGTGCAACCCCTACACCTAAAGCTCAGGGAACATCATGGAAGAGGGGATGGGAAGCTTGTAAGAGCTAGAGAACCAAGAAACCTGCTGTGAGGTAGTGCCTTCTAGATATGTCAAGGAAGCAACACCCATGAAATCTCAACAATACGGTTGCCTAAACAACGTTTGCATAATGACAATACCAGCCAGTATACTGACATGGATAGAGAAAATTTCACAAGGCTCCATCTCTAGATGAAGAGCCAAAGTCAATCATTGGATGCTCAGAAAGGGAGAATCAGTTCTCCGGGGATGACCTCCCTGATAGGTAACCTGTGTCCTTAATCCCTCTTTGCTTCCTCTAAGGATAAGAAACTCAAGGAAAACCCCTTGCCTTTTTTACTATGTGAGGACACAGCAAGAAGTTACAGTCTCTGAACCAGAAAGTACTTTCAACCTGTCAGTGCCTTAGTCTTAAACTTTCCAACCTCCAGTACTGTGGGGAAAACATTCCTATTGTTTATAAGCCTTCCAGTTTGTGGTATTTAATTATTATAGTCAGAATGGACTAAAACATCTGTATTAAATATCTAAATCTTTCCAAAACAAAAAGAACAACAAAAATATATTTTCTTAGTCTTCTATCTAGTCTAGCTACCCATCTTGTCATCTACTTTCCATGGCCTAGGTTCTTCAACATTAATTGAGTTTGCAATTTCTACTCAATTCCTACTGTTTAACACCCTTTTTGATATCATCTTAGATTGTCCTTATTAGAATCTTTTACTGACAACAAAAAATACTTAGCAAACATCGAAAGGGCAGCATAATGCTGAGCACTAAAAGTAAAATGTAGACCAAGATGGAAGCATTTTTTTTCTTTACAAGCCTTATATTCTAATGATGAAAAGAGACTGTCTGTTGATATTCAGTGTGGATTAAGTGCCATGAAGGGAATTTCAAGG